CTAGGTGGCTGCAGGGTTGTTATTGGTGTTGTGGAATTGATGGCATTTTTAATGGTCTGAACCTTTTCGCAAAAGAATACTGCAAACTCATTACACTTAGATGTGGAGATCAGTTCCAGCGGCAGTTGAGCTGGAGGGTTTGTTAATCTGTTCACTGTTGAGAATAAGACACGCGAGTTGTTACTGCAGTTTCCAATAATTTCAGAAAAGTACCTCTCCCTTGTTCTACGTAAGATCCGGTTGAACACGTACAACTTTTCTTTATAAATTTCATAATGAACATGAAGCTTTGACTTGCGCCATTTCCGCTCGGCCCTCCGGCGCTCCCTTTTCTGTGCCCTGACCGAGTCGTCATTCCTCCATGGCGCCTTCTGCTTATTTTTAACCATTTTAACCTTCACAGGGGCAATGGTGTCCAGAACATTCAAAACACTCGAAGTAACAGAGTTCAACAAATCATCAACATTAGAACATGAGGCATTTTCAAAGTTTATCATTTCCATGAACAGAGCACTTGTGCTGTTATTTATGTGTCTCCTCCGAACAACTGCAGGACCAGCCGGTGGTTTGGGAGAAACAGACAGGTCAAAGAAGACACAGAAATGATCAGACAGAGCAGCATCAACCACACTGACGTTTGAAATATTAACCCCCTTTGTTATGAGCAGGTCCAGAGTGTGCTGCGCTCTGCTGTGGGTGGGCTCACACACATGCTGAGTCAGGCCAAAGGTTTCAAGGACAGCACTGAGCTCTTTAGCATTTCTGTCACAGACATTATCCACATGTACATTAAAATCACCTGTAATGACCAAACTATCAAAGTCTGTGCATACAATTGAAAGCATCCTGGTAAAATCATCAATAAAACTTTGACTGTGCTGGGGAGGCTTGTACATAACTACATACAGTATGGACGGAGATTGTTTTAGCTCCATTTTAAAGGATACATACTCAAATGATGAAAACACCCCAAATGACAACCTGTGCATAACCATATGATCTCTAAATACTGCACAGACACCTCCACCCTTTTTGTTTTCTCATGTTTCAGATTCAAATTTGTAGTTGGGTGGAGCTGATTCCTTTAGAACAGCATTACCTGTCTGTCTGTATTAACCTGTCTGTCTGTATTGACCTGTCTGTGTGTCCATCTGTCTGTCTGCAGGAGCAGTTCATCGACCTGTGTAAGACTCTGTACAACATGTTCAGCGAGGAGCCTCTGGAGCAGGAGCTCTATCACTCCATTGCCACCGTCGCCAGCCTGCTGCTGCGCATCGGAGAGGTCGGTAAGAAGTTCAACAACGGCAGCAAAAAGACCGACAGTGCTGCCGCTCAGGCTCCGCCCACCCCACAGACCACTCCCACCGAACCTCAGAGTGAGGAGGGGGTCGGTGAGGGGGTGTTAGGAGAGTCTCAGGTGTGCCGGGCTCTGGCCGACGCTCAGCTGGAGCCGGATGAGGAAACCAAAGACGACACGTCGGTGTCGTCGTACTCGGTGGTGAGCTCCGGCTCGCTGCAGTGCGAGGACATCGCTGACGACACTGTGCTGATTGGCAGCGGTGAGCAGAGGCGGGGCAGCGTGCTGGATGTGGATTGGTCGATCACCTTTGAGCAGGTACTGGCGTCGCTGCTGACGGAGCCGCCGCTCGTTGACTACTTCGAAAGGAAGAGGGACATCCAGAGCAAGATGGCCGCCTGTAAGGCCCAGCGGGTGGTGGAGCGCCAGACGAGCTCCACCTCAGACCATGAACTCACTCAGCATTCTGTCTGACTCACCTCCACCTGTACACCTGTCCGTCTGTACACCTGTCCACCTGACAGAGACACAGAGAGGAAACGTGTCATCATCCTGATTATGTGATGTCACAGACTAACCTGTGATGTCAGAAAACATGTATTCACAGGAAGTCATGTGACTGTACCTTTATTAAAACTCAACACTTCCTGCAGGTGTTTCACAGTTAAAGTCCTTCAGGGAGGAGATAATGGCGGGCTTTTAATGTGAAGGGATGGAGGAAGTGTTGAGATGTTTTAACAGGAAACAGGAAGCAGATCATTGTAAACAAAACAGGTCCTGACAGCTGTGTATCAGCTGCAACAACGTCACAACGGCCAGTATTGTTTTCACCGCGCAAGTCTGTGTTGTAATGGCAACATGTTCCTGGTGGAACCTGTTGTCATGGAAACAACACAGGAAGTTTGGAGCACTGTGTCAGCTGTCTGTCTGTCTGTCTGTCTGTCTGTCTGTCTGTGGGACAGTTTGTCAGTGCGACAGGGTCACAGCTGAGCAAGACGCAGTCCCAAAACTTTACAGGTGATTATTTGAGATCAAAGCGAAGGCCAAGTTCAAAGATGGCTGTGGTCTGAGCGAAGGGAATAGGAAGTAGGGGATAGGAAGTATGGAAGGAGCCACTGCTCCTCCACTTCACCCCATGGATGTATAAAGACACCTGGATACAGTGTTGGAGGCGGGGCCATGTTTATTCCTATGAAAGTAGCTCTGTGGCGCATGAAGCCAGATCTTCTTCATCATTGGGCCACAGAGCAGTGATGCTCAACCTCCGGCCCGTGGGCCAAATTTGGCCTCCGGTCACAGGTGACGCATGAGCCTGTTTCCGCCGAGCAGTTCAGTTCATTGTTTCTGTTCCCTCAGTGAAAGTTACCTAGCACACAGATCTGGTACTAAAAGGTGGAGCTAGAAACCCTGCAGTCTGATTGGTCAGTAGAGGACGCTCACTCTGGTTTTATGTAACCTCTGTTCATACATCAGTAAACTACAACTATAAAATGAAAGAGAAAAAATAACTTCATTCACTGGGCCGACTGCCGGCAACTTTTAAGGTGGAACGTTAACTTGTAATGTTACTCAATGCATGAGTTGATGACGTGAATCCATCAGCACACCTTAAATTTCACTGTGACAACTTTGAGCATCACTTTAGTTTTTATATGACACACACTTTTAGTAATGACTTTAAAAATATAGATTAATTTGGAGCGGATTATGTGAAGGTCATATATTCTAATCCTCACTTCCTGTGGGCTACAGCAACACTAAACCCCTGAGCTTGCCTGAGAAGGACTAAATGCACAAAGCTGCTATTTTTAAATATCCCATGGAGAGAGACTCTCACTGCAGCCTGTTCTATTTTGTTGTGAAAATGTGGGCGTGCAGCCTCGTTCTGTGGACGATAAACCAGGTGCAGACTTCCATCTGTGTCACCGCTGATGAGGAAATACAGCGAGTGCTGGACGGAGCAGTGAGTGACAACAACCCCGCCCACATTTAAGAGGACTGTCTGAACACACCGAGGGTCTAGGTACCATGTCTGAAGGCTTACTGCTGGTTCCAAAGGGACTGGACTGAAAGGGTTTGGTGGAGACGGGGCTGCAGAGTCACCAGTTAACCTGCATGTCTTTGGACTGTGGGAGGAACCTTGAGCACCTGGAGGAAACCCACACTGACACGGGGAGAACATGTAAACTCCACACAGAAGGGCTCCTCCACCCCAGGGTTCAAACCAGGAACCCTCTTACTGTGAGGTGGCACCACTGCATCACCGTGTTGCCCACTGTTATCAGACAGAATGATTAAATCCTGATCAGGGATCAAGTCGTTCTGTTGGCGCTGTGATGCTTAAAAAAATGTATCCACTGATGTACAGATGTCAGTCTATGGGGGAAATGTTTTTGAGCCACATGGCATCGTGTGACATTGTGTGACATTGTGTGACAGACCCAGAAGTTAGATTTCTGCTGTTTGGCCACTACATCATATTGGCTTCAAAGTTCAGTGCTGTTCGTGGCGTCTCACTTTACGACCCGGCCCTCATTTAGTAAAGTGGCTGTGTTGTTGCTGCAGTGATGTGATCACATGATGGTGTCGGCTCAGGGTCAGCAGGTCTCAGGTCTCTGTGCAGGTGAGATGTGCTGAATATAATCAGACATGAAAACTAACAGACGAGCAGGTGAAGCAGGTGAACAGTCGGCTGGCAGAACTACAGAAGCCCCTAAGTCCCAAAACATGTTTTTTTTTAACCAAGAGAATCCTCTCCATGTCATCAGATCATCTCTGTAAATAATTGAGTCCTAAAACTTTCTTAAAATAAGTGAATACGTGTTTCGCTGACTGAAGACGTTTGAACATGTTTACAAATGATTATATTTTAAGGATCAGAATGCGAGCAGGTGAAGCCGCTGAAGCTCCAAGAACAAAGTTTAGTTAGATGTAATAAAAACATTAAAATAAGTTGATTCATGTTTGAAACAAGTTGAAATATTCCAAACTGTTTCATTGATTTTCAGAAAATTAAACTTGAAGGACTCGTTACATAAAACTAAAATAGTTTAATGTTAAATTGTTTTAATTTCCTTCTGTACAGGTCAGATATATATATTAACTGTATATTAATAAAATCATATTACCTGATAAACTCACGTACCTGTGTCACTCAGGTGAGGTCACACCTGCAGTCTTTTATTTTGACGTCACTGAAGCCTTGTTTGTTTGTGCTGCCTATTTCTGATGACATCACTCCTGTTTACTTCCTGTAGAGACGATGATGTCAGAGGACCTTTCAGTGTTTTTACTCAGTTTCTTCTCTCTGTTGTCTGTACTGTATTTATTCACCTGTCTGCTTTTAAAATCCATTATATTGATCAGTTATTGATCTGTATTCTGTTGTCTAATAAATACTGAAGAAAATTCACTTTCTTCTTCTGTGGTGTTGTGTTTACTGACTTACAAACAGGAAGTCAAGTTCAGCTGCAGTCAGGAGTTTATTTTATGTTCAAATATTTCACATGAAAACTGATTTATTTTAAGTTGAGATAATATTGAATTAATTAATGTTTTATTTTAGTTATTTATTTTAATGTCCTGTAAAAAATCAGGTTCAGGCTGATCAGGTTTATTGATTGATGACATCATTCAAACTGAATCCAGTGTGATCTGCAGGAGGAGCTCGGCTCTGCTCGGCTCTGTTCGGAGACAACACGAACAGTGTGACGTCTCCCCGCTGTTCAAACAGACCCGGGAAAAAACTGTGAGTGAACACAGACGGAACGCAGCATCAGAACCGGAGCCGCTCACCGTCTGTCCGTCATGGTTCAGGAGTTTCATGTCGTCAGGTGTTTCACCTGTCAGAGCTTCCAGGTACAACAGGTAACAAATAAAGTTAAACACAGAGAGAACTCAACAGACAGGCTAACTGCTAGGCTAACTGCTAGGCTAACAGGCTAACTGCTGTGTCTGCTGAACTAACTGCTAGGCTAACAGGCTAACTGCTGTGTCTGCTGAACTAACTGCTAGGCTAACAGGCTAACTGCTAGGCTAACAGGCTAACTGCTGTCAGTGATGTGTTCATCATTTTTGCTTGTCGATAATGTTAAATAATTAAATATGACGTCACTGATGGAAACTGTTTCAGGACTCTAGATTTATAATAATAATATACAGATATATATTTGTTGAAAAGATAAAATAAATATGGTGAAATGATGAAGCTTAAAGGAAGAAAATTAAATTAATGTTTCTTCAAATACATAAAGATGTTTTTGTAGGTTTATTTGTAATGTTTTACAGTCATGTAGCTGTTTCATTATTTCTATAAGAAAAGTAAAGCTATGATGGAAGCATATTAACAAGTGTGTACCTGACTGTAGTAATGAGTGTGTGTGTGTGGCCCTGTGCTGTGTCTGTCAGGTGAAGAAGGTGAACAAGTGGAGCTGTAAACTGTGTGGAGTCAAACAGTCGCTGCTGAAGGTCAGAACATGACTTCTGCTCTTTAATGCTGCTTTATAATAGAATCTACAACATTCTGATAATCAAATCATCACTAAAGTTATCAATCAATCAAACCATCAGTCCTCTCAAAAGTTTCACCAAATTCTTGTAACCAAAGGTTATCTCTTTTTATTTATAATGTAATTGTGCTGTTTTATACATGTATGTTAAATATTTGACATGATATATTTTATGATATTTATATATTCAGACATACAGGACAGTTGAAGAAGTCAACAGAAAGAATCACAAATGTTCTTCACTGTTTTCTGACATGTTATTGATCGATTAATAATTAATGAATTAATGGACTGATGATGAAGAGTCAGTTTCAGCTGCTTCACAACATCAGGTGTTCACAGGTGTGCTGATTGATTGACAGGAGTTTGGGCGGGGCTCCGGGGCCGACTGCAGACGTCATGTGCAGAAACTGAACGCCATGAGAGGAGCCAGGATGGAGGAGCAGGAGCAACAAGCCTGGTCGCTATGGTAACCAACCTGTCCCACAGTACACTCCAGCCTTTTTACTCTTCACCTGTTTGTCCAGCTGTTCCCACCTGTCGCTGCCTCCTGCTTCAATGTGCTCGAGCTCTGATGGGTGTTGTTTACAGGGAACAGGTGGAGGCAGAAGGAGAGGGTGAGGAGGAGTACGACCAGGTGACCACACACACACACACACACACACACACACACAGTGTTGTGCTTCTAAATGTCTTAATTTAGTTGGGGGTTTTTTAAATATCTAATAAAGGTTTTAAAGTGTAGTCAATGTATACTCTGTCTCCAGGTGAGCCAGACTCAGGTGAGCCAGACTCAGGTGAGCCGCTGGAGCAAGTACCTGGACACACCTGAAGAGGCGGAGCTAGAGGAAGAGGAAGAGGAGAGTGTTTTGATGGACAGGCAGCAGCTCCATGGCATCAACATGACTAACAGGTAGGGCCGCATATCATTTAAAAATAAAAGACACCAGTACCCTTAAAGTGATACTGGCACCAGTGGAGTTCTTCATTTGAGACCCGTAATGTGAACGGAAACATTCAGTTGTGTAAGATGTCACCAGGCGCCACAGACATGTCGCTCAGACTTTATTTACAAATGTTAAAATAAACATTAGACTTCCGACTCTATCGAATACATGTGCTCGAATTCATGTGCTCAGCACAGTCTCTGTGGCTGCTGCTGTAGTGGGCCAATCATCAATCAATTAAATGGAACAACGCTTGCAGTGATTGGCTGAGAGCAAAACCATTAATATAGTCTTTTTTTCCAGATCTGGGTCCAAAGGTATTGATATTCAGACAATGTTTGACGAAAGAAGTTTTGATACTGGTTTGTTATTTCAGTCGATACCTTACAGGTACTGATGCATGTTCCTACCGACAGGTGTCACTTTCCAGTTAAAAGTGAATTATTTTCTGGGTTATAATTCATGTATTTTTAACCGCTTATGCAAAAACAGATTTAACTTGATTTTTTGCTTCAAATTACGCACATTCAAAATGGTGCAGTATGTATGTCTGGGGCTCTTTGTGTGAAGGGCCGAGCTCCAACTAGGCTCGTTACTGTGAGTGCAATTAAACCTTCACGAGCAAAAAGACAATACTTTATCAATGCACCTGTTCAAAAAGCATAAGAAGCTGTATTTTAATGTGCTCTGTCTGCAGTCTCTCACCACTAACGTTATGTTCTACACAAGCACAGCACGATTACTCGGCTGACTGAATTTTCACAAACAAGCTAAAATAAAACCTGTCTGTATGTACGCTAACTGCTCAGCCTGGTCTGTCACACATCTGTAAAATGTGTCAGATTCTTCTAAACTTCACTCAGTATTATGACATCATGACTTTGGTTTATTTAAATGACACGTTTGATTTGTTTCCAAATTGATTATTAAGTTCAAATCGTTACTTTGCTGTTGTAAACTGTTGCTGCTCCAGAAAAAACATTTAGTAATAATAAATATTTAATTCTATTCCTGGTCTGAATCTGTTGGGTTTTTTTATATATTTTTTATAAAAAGCAAGTATATAGTAATGAAAAAGAAAAAGTAAGAGTATCAGAAAAGAGCTGAACTGATAAGGAGTATCGATGAGGGGAGTAGTATCAATAATNATATAAAAACGTGTAAGTATTTTGAAGAGATAAAAACAGTTAAAAGTTATGTCACTGTTGTCTTTGAGGTTTAATTTTAGATTTTAAAAAGCTTTGAGATGTTTAACTATCCTGTGTTCTGACAGGAAGAGAAAGAGAAGAGAAGGATGGACAGATGGAGGAAAGCACAGCTGGACACCTGAACAGGTAACATGCTGACATCACCAATATATTTTAACACTTAAGTTTCACATGAGTTTCACAGGTTTGATAGAAGTGAAGTTGTGCTAAGTTAGGCTAACCGTTTATACAGTCATCAGTCAACAGAGATTTTAAGCCAGACTTAAAGATGTACAGTATAATAATCGTCACAACCGGGATGTTCCCCTGAGAAACTCAACATTACTAAACGCCAGAACAGATGTACTGTCCCTTTAAATCTGTTTAAAGTGTAACAGAAAGAACATTTAATATTTAACAGTTTATTTAAATCTGTGAAGTTTAATAAGAAGAACACAGTACCCGGGCCTTTCCCCTGAGGAACTCCACACATTATTGAACACCCGAACAGGAGGATTTAGAAAATGTTCAGCCATTTTAAGTGCAGCCTGCAGACCAATGCCAATTTTCTTGATTTCGGACGACATGCTATATTATGATGTTTTTTCGTGATTTCAGACGACATTCTATACTATGATGTTTTCTCATTTCAGACGACATTCCATACTATGATGTTTTTTCATTTCAGACGACATGCTATACTGTGAAGTTTTTTCATGATTTCGGAAGACATGCTATACTATGATTTTTTTTTCATGATTTCGGACAACATGCTATACTATGACTTTTTTTTCATGATTTCGGACGACGTGCTGTACTATGATGTTTTTTCATGATTTCGGACAACATGCTATACTATGATGTTTTTTCATATCGGACGACATGCTATACTATGATGTTTTTTTTATGATTTCGGACGACATGCTATACTGTGATATTTTTTTATGATTTCGGACGACATGCTATACTGTGACGTTTTTTCATGATTTCGGACGACATGCTATACTGTGACGTTTTTTCATGATTTCGGATGACATGCTATACTATGATGTTTTTTCATGATTTCGGACGACATGCTATACTATGAAGTTTGTCATGATTTTGGACGACATGCTATACTGTGACGTTTTTTCCTGATTTTGGACGACATGCTATACTATGAGTTTTTTTTTCATGATTTCGGACGACATGCTATACTATGATTTTTTTCATGATTTCGGACGACATGCTATACTATGATGTTTTTTCATGATTTCGGACGATTTTCTATACTGTGACGTTTTTTCATGATTTCAGACGACATGCTATACTACGATGAGATGTTTTTTCATGATGTTCAGATGGCATTCTATACTGTGACCTTTTTTCATGATTTCGGAAGACATGCTATACTGTGACGTTTTTTCATGATTTCGGACGATTTTCTATACTGTGACGTTTTTTCATGATTTCAGAGGACATGCTATACTACGATGTTTTTTTCATGATTTCAGACGACATGCTATACTATGAAGTTTTTCATGATTTCGGAAGACATGCTATACTAAGATGTTTTTTCATGATTTCGGACAACATGCTATACTCTGACGTTTTTTCATGATTTCAGAAGACATGCTATACTATGATTTTTTTTTTCATGATTTCGGACAACATGCTATACTATGATGTTTTTTCATGATTTTGCTCGACATGCTATACTATGACTTTTTTTTCATGATTTCGTACGACGTGCTATACTATGATGTTTTTTCATGATTTCGGACGACATGCTATACTATGACTTTTTTTTCATGATTTCGGTAGACATGCTATACTAAGATGTTTTTTCATGATTTCGGACAAAATGCTATACTTTGACATTTTTTCATGATTTCAGATGACATTCTATACTGTGACCTTTTTTCATGATTTCGGAAGACATGCTATACTGTGACGTTTTTTCATGATTTCGGACGATTTTCTATACTGTGACGTTTTTTCATGATTTCAGATGACATGCTATACTACAATGTTTTTTTCATGATTTCGGACAACATGCTATACTATGAAGTTTTTCATGATTTCGGAAGACATGCTATACTAAGATGTTTTTTCATGATTTCGGACAACATGCTGTACTGTGACGTTTTTTCATGATTTCGGACGACATTCTATATGTGATGTTTTTTCATGATTTCGGACAAAATGCTATACTGTGACATTTTTTCATGATTTCAGATGACATTCTATACTGTGACCTTTTTTCATGATTTCGGAAGACATGCTGTACTGTGACGTTTTTTCATGATTTCAGACGACATGCTATACTACGATGTTTTTTTCATGATTTCAGACGACATGCTATACTATGATGTTTTTTCATGATTTCGGACGACATACTACACTATGATTTTTTTTCATGATTTCGGACGACATGCTATACTATGATGTTTTTTCAGGATTTCGGACGACATGCTATACTGTGATGTTTTTTCATGATTTCGGACGACATAATATACTGAGTTTTTTTCTCATGATTTCGGACGACATGCTAGACTGACGTTTTTTCATGATTTCGGATGACATGCCATACTGTGACGTTTTTTCATGATTTCGGACGACATGCTATACTGTGACGTTTTTTCATGATTTCGGACGACATGCCATACTGTGACGTTTTTTCATGATTTCGGACGACATGCCATACTGTGACGTTTTTTCATGATTTCGGACGACATGCCATACTGTGACGTTTTTTCATGATTTCGGACGACATGCCATACTGTGACGTTTTTTCATGATTTCGGACGACATGCCATACTGTGACGTTTTTTCATGATTTCGGACGACATGCCATACTGTGACGTTTTTTCATGATTTCGGACGACATGCCATACTGTGACGTTTTTTCATGATTTCGGACGACATGTCATACTGTGACGTTTTTTCATGATTTCGGACGACATGCCATACTGTGATGTTTTTTCATGATTTCGGACAACATAATATACTGTGAGTTTTTTTCTCATGATTTCGGACGACATGCTAGACTGACATTTTTTCATGATTTCGGTTGACATGCCATACTGTGATGTTTTTTCATGATTTCGGACGACATGCCATACTGTGACGTTTTTTCATGATTTCGGACGACATGCCATACTGTGACGTTTTTTCATGATTTCGGACGACATGCCATACTGTGACGTTTTTTCATGATTTCGGACGACATGCCATACTGTGACGTTTTTTCATGATTTCGGACGACATGCCATACTGTGACGTTTTTTCATGATTTCGGACGACATGCCATACTGTGACGTTTTTTCATGATTTCGGACGACATGCCATACTGTGACGTTTTTTCATGATTTCGGACGACATGCCATACTGTGACGTTTTTTCATGATTTCGGACGACATGCCATACTGTGATGTTTTTTCATGATTTCGGACAACATAATATACTGTGAGTTTTTTTCTCATGATTTCGGACGACATGCTAGACTGACATTTTTTCATGATTTCGGATGACATGCCATACTGTGATGTTTTTTCATGATTTCGGATGACATGCCATACTGTGACGTTTTTTCATGATTTCGGACGACATGCTATACTGTGACGTTTTTTCATGATTTCGGACGACATGCCATACTGTGACGTTTTTTCATGATTTCGGACGACATGCCATACTGTGACGTTTTTTCATGATTTCGGACGACATGCCATACTGTGACGTTTTTTCATGATTTCGGACGACATGCCATACTGTGACGTTTTTTCATGATTTCGGACGACATGCCATACTGTGACGTTTTTTCATGATTTCGGACGACATGCCATACTGTGACGTTTTTTCATGATTTCGGACGACATGTCATACTGTGACGTTTTTTCATGATTTCGGACGACATGCCATACTGTGATGTTTTTTCATGATTTCGGACAACATAATATACTGTGAGTTTTTTTCTCATGATTTCGGACGACATGCTAGACTGACATTTTTTCATGATTTCGGTTGACATGCCATACTGTGATGTTTTTTCATGATTTCGGACGACATGCCATACTGTGACGTTTTTTCATGATTTCGGACGACATGCCATACTGTGACGTTTTTTCATGATTTCGGACGACATGCCATACTGTGACGTTTTTTCATGATTTCGGACGACATGCCATACTGTGACGTTTTTTCATGATTTCGGACGACATGCCATACTGTGACGTTTTTTCATGATTTCGGACGACATGCCATACTGTGACGTTTTTTCATGATTTCGGACGACATGCCATACTGTGACGTTTTTTCATGATTTCGGACGACATGCCATACTGTGACGTTTTTTCATGATTTCGGACGACATGCCATACTGTGATGTTTTTTCATGATTTCGGACAACATAATATACTGTGAGTTTTTTTCTCATGATTTCGGACGACATGCTAGACTGACATTTTTTCATGATTTCGGATGACATGCCATACTGTGATGTTTTTTCATGATTTCGGACGACATGCCATACTGTGACGTTTTTTCATGATTTCGGACGACATGCCATACTGTGACGTTTTTTCATGATTTCGGACGACATGCCATACTGTGACGTTTTTTCATGATTTCGGACGACATGCCATACTGTGACGTTTTTTCATGATTTCGGACGACATGCCATACTGTGACGTTTTTTCATGATTTCGGACGACATGCCATACTGTGACGTTTTTTCATGATTTCGGACGACATGCTATACTGTGACGTTTTTTCATGATTTCGGACGACATGCCATACTGTGACGTTTTTTCATGATTTCGGACGACATGCCATACTGTGACGTTTTTTCATGATTTCGGACAACATGCTATACTATGATTTAACAACATGGTTTTTTCAAAATGGTGAAAAATATGTTCGTCATAAAAAGTTAATTTTAAAAGTGATAGAACAAGATATCCTTAAAAAAATCGCAGTTTCATGTTATAAAATAAAACAAAATTTAAAAAGTCGTCTTTCACCGTCTTTTCTTAACAATCAAACCTGTCTTGATTGTTTCTCTTTGTAGCCACACTGTTCCAGTATGAAGAAACCTGTGAGATCTTCAGCCACAAACACCAGTCCAAACCCCACCAGTCTGAACCACCCAAGAGAAAACCACACCAGAACTACCAGTCTGAACCACCCAAGAGAAAACCACACCAGAACTATCAGTCTGAACTCCCCCAGTCTGAACCACACCAGTCCTTCCAGTAAGAAGAGCATTAATCCTCCCAGTGTGCGTACTGGTCCTGTGTCCAGGTGGGCTCAATTCCTCAGTTCTGACTGTCAGGTAGAGGAGGAGCCTTCAGCCAGTGGGTGGAGTCAGACAGTGGTTGGGGCTGCCCCTCTGTCCTGTAACAACACTATCAATGAGGCCCCACCCTTTACCAGGCCCCGCCCCCTACTTCCTGCATCCTCCATGTTTGAGAGTGGCGAAGATTTCAGCTTTGATGAGTTCTAAACAGACTGAACAGATGATTGATATTCTGTTGACAGACTGATCCATTCATCAGCCATTGGTTTATATATGATACAGTGTGTTAGTCTGTGAACATTAAAGACAGAGACCTCAGAGTGTTTAAGTTTTTGTGTAAAAATATGAATAAAAATGTTTTTAAAAAGTAGATCAGACATTTCGCCACAGATTCGTTTCTTCATGTTTTTATTGTTCAGATTAACAATTGCAACAGTAAAGAAAAATTAATCAGTAATCAATGAGACAAAGTGATTAATGAGTTAACGTTGTGATTGGTTAACGATAATAACAGTACTGAGATAATAGAATGATTATAAACTCAGGAAACAACAGGAACATCTGACTGCAGGATAAATCATCTCCTGGTTAGATATTATTGGTTAGTATAGATGATGCCATCATGGCTGGTGTGGGCGGGGCTGTTTGGCGTACTGGATGGCGTCGAGCGCCGCACCAATGTCGAAATTCTTGGCCTGAAGGAGACGAGTCAACCAACCGCCTTCGTCAGTGAAACCCATCGACAGCATGTGAGACAGAGACTCCACCAGACGAGGGTCCGCCTCTGTGTAGGGGGGAGGGGTCAGAGGTTGTTAAGGGTCAGAAGGTCAAAGAGATCGTTATAAAGAAGGTCGGAGGGGGGGGTTTGGTCTTACCTTGAGGCAGGTGAGGGTACAGTGCTGCCTCCCTCAGACCTGTTGGACCCTGTTGGACCGATGGGGGTCCCTGTGGTCCCGATGGAGGACCCTGTTGTCCCGATGGAGGACCCTGTTGTCTCAATGGAGGACCTTGCTCCTGGTCCTGGTCCTGGTCAATGTCCCCAGGTTGGAGGGACTGCAGCTCTCCAGTGGAGGGGTCGACCTCTCTGGGACTCAGGTGAGTCCACTCCTCATCAGACTCTCTGCACACCTGTGGAGCACAGACTGGGTCAGGTGGACTGGTTACAGTGGTCAGAGTGGTGATGATGTCATACATGTGCTGTCAGGTTTTAATGGTTCTGAATGTTTTTTTTACTTTTATTTCTCCTTTGATTGTGATGTACTTTGTGCAGTGCATTGTGGGAGATCAATGTACAACAGTTCAATCAAAAATTAATATTTAGGCTCTGTTTAAAATCACATACTAATTAACTACAATCATGTGACTGATGCAGTCATGTGATTAGTGCAGTCGTGATGGAAGAAAAGACGTGTTGAGTTTACCTCTGTGTGAACAGTGTGGTTGGCATTCATACTCCTTAATTTAGTACACAGTGCAGCACATACTATCTGTGTAAGTAATGCACAATACATACTGACATACTGCGTCATTATGTGGAACACAGTATATACTAATTAAATATGTAATACATACTGATTGAGTTTGTATACAACACATGCAGAGAGTATGCAGTACATACTAATTAAATATGTAGTATGCAGTTTACTTACTGATGAAGTTTGTAGTGCGCAGCACACAGTCACTGAGGTTGTAGTATGACGTACATACTGATGGTGTATGTCGTATGACGTACATACTGATAATGTATGTAGCCTGCAGCACATACTGATCAAGTATGTAGAATACAGTATATACTGATGGTACATGCTGATCTGAGTATGTAGTGAGCAGCACATACTAATTGAGTATGTCGTATACAGTACATTCTGATATAGTATGTAGTACACAGTATATACTGATGATACATACTGATGGAGTATGTAGTATGCAGAACATACTGCTGAAGTATGTAACATGTAGTACATACTGGTGAGGTATGTTTCATGCAACACATACTGACAGAGTATGTAGTTTTCAGTATTCACTGTCGGCTCAAACTGGTGAAGTTTGTAGAATACAGAACAGAAACATTAGCGCGTGACATCGAGCCAAATTTACATCTATTGAACGAACTCATCACACTTAACTGTTTCTTCATCTGATGATGATGATGATGACGAGAATGAACTGACCTTTGACCCCTCGCTGCTGGCTCCGCCCTCACTACTGGCTCCGCCCTCACTGCTGGCTCTGCTCTCATTATCGGCTCGGCCCACCTCTCCTTCCACCCCCCCGCTCTGAGAGGGAGGGGTCACCTTCGTCCTCTGGCCTTCGTGCTCCACGTCAATGTCCACATCGATACCTGCACACATATGACATCACTTCCTGTTTAAACATCTCATCTCCTCGGCAGCAAACAGAACCACTTTGAACCATGTTGTGTTTAAGTTTGTTCTCTGTCGATAAGAGTTTCCTGTATCAGACAGCAGTTAGCTTTCCTGTTTGTGATGTACCTAAACTTGAGTCTCAGGTTTTAGAGACGTGTGCAGACATCGCCCCCTTCAGGAGAGGAGTGTAAAACACCTCTGTATTAAAAAGCTTTGCACAGATCAGTCTAGTCAAGGTCGGACATTTTAGAAAGAAGAGAAACACAGTTTTAAGTTGAGGACTGAAACACACTCTGTTGTGTTGAACAAGCAACTACGGCAGCTGAAAAGGACATTCTTCATGTTCTTAATAAAGAATTTTCCGAATCTAAAAACAAGTTTTTTAAACAACAGACTACACTCAATACTGTTGTGATACGATTCTGTCGTATTCACCGTTAATTTTATGAAAGATACAAACACGTCGCTGCTGATTGGGTAACACCTCGGACACACCCACCAAACAGCCAATCATAAACCTGCACTGATCTCAGGTGTTAACAGTGACATGACTCACCCAGTGGGCTCAACATGGCCGCCACGCCCTCCCCAATGTTCTTCAGGAAGTCCACATTGGCCTGTGAGGCTGCAGATAGAGGTCAGAGGTCACTTGATGATGTCATTAATGAGTGGAGGTCAGTCAGAACGATCAGGTGTCAGGTTATTGATTATCAATCAGATTACTGTCAGTTTATCAGCACACACTGACCAGAGGGGGCGCTGCAGTCAGCAGCAGGTCTGGAGGGTCCAGGCTGGTCCTGGTCCTGATCCCCATCCTGGTCCTGATCCTGGTTCTGAGCAGGGCTCCCGTTCTGGTTCTGGTTCAGGTTCCACATGCAGTGTCTCATCCACTTCATCCACTTCCCCCGAGGGAACCACTGCTGCTGAACAGACAGGAAACAGTTCAACTAAACATCCTGACAGTCACAGAGCAGGGCAGAGACAGATTAACACACTGTGCTGTGACATCACTGTGACATCACTGCAGTGTTCCTTCTCATGATGTCACTCACCTGCATGGGGTGCCAGATGGGCAGCAGAGCGTGCTCAGTGTGCGTCCCTCGAGCCTGGCAGGTGGAGCACAGGTCATAGTTGGGACACACCGAGCACTTGAAGCGAGTTCCCACCACGGGACCCTCGCAGCCGTCACAGGTGACACCGCTGTGCACAGGGGGCGGGCCCATATGAGGGGGCGGGCCCATGTGAGGGGGCGGGCCTGGAGGAGGAGGGTGGCCGAAGGCGAAGGGAGGGAAGGCGTGAAGAGGGAAGTCACGGCGGTGCTCCTTCTTCTCTGGAAGAGTTCAATCAAACTTCATTAGCAACAAATCAAACAGCTCAGATTAACTGCAACTCTTTTTTTCATTTTTTTATTTGCTTTATTTCCTCATTTATATATTTTTAGTCACTGAGAGAAAATAAAAACTGTCAAGTCTCAATATTTTTATATATAAATTAATATTTGGAGGAAGAAGCAGTGAAGAGTTTAGACTGAAAGCTGCTCTCATCTCACAGTTTGTACATCCTTGATGCCTTTCCTTGTCTCCTCTCCTCATGTCTTAGTCCCTCCCACCTGGTATGTGAGCGGAGGAGGCAGGAAGAGTAAAGAGGAGGGAGGAGTCATGGCAACAGGCGTTTAACAAAATGAGACGTCCATGTTTCAGAGATGTTGGTTAAACATGAAGCAGCACAGCTGTGTGTCAAAGACTTGTGTGTGTGTGTGAGTGTGTGCACGCGTGTGTGTGTGTGTCCTCACTCCTCGCTTCTCTGATCAGCCTCCTCTCCGCCAGGTGCAATTTAACAATTGAGACATCATTCAAGATGGCGATGGATCAGGTGAGGAACAGGTGAGGATCAGGTGAGGATCAGGTGAGGAACAGGTGAGGAACAGGTGAGGATCAGGTGAGGATCAGGTGAGGATCAGGTGAGGATCAGGTGAGGAACAGGTGAGGATCAGGTGAGGAACAGGTGAGGATCAGGTGAGGATCAGATGAGGAACAGGTGAGGAACAGATGAGGATCAGATGAGGATCAGATGAGGATCAGGTGAGGATCAGGTGAGGATCAGGTGAGGAACAGGTGAGGATCAGGTGAGGATCAGATGAGGAACAGGTGAGGAACAGATGAGGATCAGATGAGGATCAGGTGAGGATCAGGTGAGGATCAGATGAGGAACAGGTGAGGAACAGATGAGGATCAGATGAGGATCAGGTGAGGATCAGATGAGGATCAGGTGAGGAACAGGTGAGGAACAGATGAGGATCAGGTGAGGAACAGATGAGGATCAGATGAGGATCAGGTGAGGATCAGGTGAGGATCAGGTGAGGATCAGGTGAGGAACAGATGAGGATCAGGTGAGGAACAGGTGAGGAACAGATGAGGATCAGATGAGGATCAGGTGAGGATCAGGTGAGGAACAGGTGAGGAACAGGTGAGGAACAGGTGAGGATCAGATGAGGAACAGATGAGGAACAGGTGAGGAACAGGTGAGGAACAGATGAGGATCAGATGAGGATCAGGTGAGGATCAGGTGAGGATCAGATGAGGAACAGGTGAGGATCAGGTGAGGAACAGATGGGGAACAGGTGAGGTTTATTTGAGGTTGTGTGTTTGTACCTTTGATGTAGAGGCGGAAGGTGGCGTCCTTCATACAGCCCAGACCCATCATCAGTTCATCATCAGAGGAAAACGCCACCATGTCTCCATCTTCATCTGAAATATACACAAACACTCATCATCATCATCATCAGATTATCTATATGTTCATATATGTTAATAAATATGATCTCTACCTCAGTGTTACATGTTGTTCTTCAGGTTAATTCTACAGACTGACCCTTTAATGTCACTGTGTGTGTGTGTGTGTGTGTGTGTGTGTGTGTGTGTGTGTAAACTTTGTTGGAGCGATCCAGTTAGTGCCATATAAACACATGTATACACACACACATTCATATCTATATTTCTGAGATAACAATAAAAACATCCAAACAGTCCATTACATCATGTTTATACACATCTAATAATTATTTACCTCTGTAACATGTTGATATTCTCCACATTATGTTTATACATGTTTAATAACTGTTGTATTAACGTCTGTGTTACATGTTGATGGTCAGGTTAATTATATATATATTCATATAAAGAGAGCAGCAGAGAGCTTCAGGGTTAGTGTCAGCACTCTCTCTCTATTTATATTTAAACTGTGATTCATCCAGTTACATTATTCTTTCCATGTTTGTGTGTCAACAACTGTGTTCCATATAAGGACAGGCCACGCCCCCTTTTCATTTCACCGCTCAGACATGTCCGGACAAAACTACACTAACCTTTAACATGTAAACACTCAGTTTGTTTATTGATTATTAAGATTCAGTAACAAATGTCCAGAGAGTCTGTTTCAGGTTATTTTAGTGGTTCAGATATTTTTATATGAAACGCTTTATTTAAACAAACAGCTCAGTGACGTCAGAGTGACGAAACACTGTTTATATGTGTTTACATTATAGCTGTAAACTTTACCTCTGGACCACATGTTGTTTATCAGGTTGTTTATCATGTTTACACGTGTTCAATATGTGTAAACTTTACCTCTGTAGCACAGGTTGTTCTCAGGTTATTTAAACGTTAATATAATGTTTAATACGAGTTATCTGTACCTTTGTAGTACATGTTGAAGTTCTTGAGGTTGCTGAAGACACTTCCGGTCTTCTTGCTCAGGTACTCGAAGCTGCACGAGACCCCTTGATCCACCGCGAACCTCCGGACCTCTTTCACCGACTCATCCTTCCCCAACAGGTAAGCTTTCACCGTCACCGACATCCTGCCGCAGGTTCAGGTTCAGGTTCAGGTTCAGACTCTGACACACGGGACAAGCTCCACAGACACCGGACAGAAATCACGGACTGTCACAGACTGAGTGAACAAACTTTGTGACGCAGCTTTAAATCCTCTCCGCTCCTTTATGTTTACTTCCGGGATCAACGTCACCATCGTCAGGAGAAGTAAACACTGACGCGGCCTCTCATTGGTTCACGGATCGAGTGCCACTCAGCCGACCAATGAGAGGCCGAGAAATGACTAAGCGCTTTCCAATGAGGGACTTTCCCTGTGAGTCACCTGACCGACAGGTTCAACCTGCTCAGAGTTCACACATGAATCTGCTGCGTCATCATTATAACACTATTATTATCAATAATAAATTAATATCTAAATATCAGGAGTTTGATATTAAAGACTTTAAAGATCAATAAACTAAACAAATATAATCCAACGTGTTTTAATGTTTCTGACACTGAGCTCATGTCACTGCAGAAAACCTGACAAATAAACTGGATCAGTTTCATTGTTATGTAATCTGATTACTTTACTCATTAACTGATTTAATCAATAAAAGGTCACAAAGATTCAGTTTTAGAAACTTTTTAAAAAACATATTTTTAACTGATGAATCAGTTTCCAAACAGTCGATCAGTTTTCATCTGATTCAATAAATCAACTTACAGGCTGAAACAGACGAGTCATTATTTAATGGAGTCTGTTTCCAAGGTGACGTGTTGTTGTTAATTACAGCTAAATGTCACAGACAAAATCAAAATGTTAAAATATGATCAATAATGTTAACAGTAACAGATTTCATCTGTTTATTCAGCTGTTAACTGAATTATTATTTGTTGTGATGTTCTGTGTCAGTGCTGATAGTTTATACTGATGAAGCTTTACTCTCACACACATCACTAAACATGTGAAATGCTGAATCAAACTGATCCTGAATTATTTATAACAACAACAGATTTATAGAATCAGTATTTAAATTAATAAGTTTCCTCTGTTCTTTAAATCTTCCTGTGCTGGATCAATAAAGTTCATCTGAGCTGAAGTTAATGACACTCAGCTCTTTGTTTGTATTTCAGGATGTATGAACTGTGTTTTTGTGTTTTGTTTTGTTTTAACTTCCAGAAGTTGTTGAGATGTGACATCATCCTGTAGCCAGCAGCCAATCAGCAGCAGAGTCCGAGTCAGGTGACGGTGAGTCAGCGGCTCTGTGAAGTGACTCAGAGTCACAAGATGAAGTTCAGGCGTCCTCCCTGCGAACACAGGCTCTCTGTTACTGTTACTGTTACTGCAGGTTTGTCTGATACAGACACAGATTCATGTTATTGATACAACTCATACTGTTGGATATAAACTGATGAGTCATGTTCACTTCATTCTGTATATATATGAGGAACTGTAATGTTGTTCATTCACCCAAACTTTGCAGCTGATCCTTTAATATCAGACGGCTTCATGCAATCAGGTGACTCGCTGTGACACATGGACCTCACTGAACAGAAGCTTCTGGAAACAAAACAGGAGGCGTATGCTTCATGGAGACTCAGGTCAGGTGTGACTGAGGGAATATTGAAGCGCTGCTCACATGATCTGCAGTTATTGACACTCACATGCAGACAGTGCATCAGACCAGGGGAACATACATCAGTCATCATCATGGCATCTGTCTACAGTTCACCTGCAGCAGATCTATGTAAAGGTCAGGGGTCATATTCACAAAGCTTCCTTGTACACAGAGTCGCTCCAAGTGGCGAATTTCCCCTTAATGTTAAGACCTGATCCTGGTAAAGATAAAATTTATTCACAGAGCGTCTCAGACTGTAGTGTAAGATTTAATCTTTAATCAGGTAAAGGTGTTATACTGCATAAGTTGATTAAGAGTAAAGGTTATATAACCATGTCTTATGTATAAGTTCCTATAATACTGTTTGTTATGCATCTATGTGTGATAAAACACTGGTGTACAAGTCTATGTATTCATAACACAAGGTTATGTATTCACATTGAAGAGCACACATACACCACACCATGTACTGTTTTATAATAACACACACACACACACTCTAACGTTTGTATTGCAGGACACACACTCTAAGAGTTCACATTGCATGAAAGCACAGGGGATTGTATAGAGAAAGTCCCCAGGTTGTCCCCAAGTGAAACCAGGCTCGAACCTAATGGTGGGAGAATTTGGGGATTTCCAGGCCCAGGGATTACACCATTAGGTCATGTTTGGACAAGGGCCCAAGGGGCCTGCCACCAATAGATTTGGACCAGACGGAAAAGGGCTAAAAAGAAAAAGATCTGCCACCAATAGGTTCGAACGCAGGTAGGAAGGACTAAAGAAAAAGGGTGGAGATTCTCTCGAATCTTCACCAGCATAAAGGGGAGAGCGCAGAAAGTGAAACTTCAGTCTTGCTCCGGAGCCTGACTCATGAGCTGTGTGTTGAAGCTTGTGAACACATTAAACTCGATTGCACCAGATTCTATTTGACTCCAGTGTTTCTCTAAGTGTCAGCCAACTGAACCTAAGATACTAAAATCAACTCAGAGGACGATCTACAAGAAAAGTAGAGGACGAGGTCGGGAGCCATCTGGCCCACTTCCAGGCACAGATTTTCGCTTCTACAAGACCTTAAAGAGGTCCTGAGGAGAAACCAGTCAGAGCAGGAGGAGGGGCAGGAGCAGGAGGAGCAGGAGGAGGAGTTTAAGAGTTTGTGAATCAGAGGAGAAAATGGTGGGAACACAGAGGTCACAGAAATATTCTCCAAACACTGGACGACAGTGAGGACATGAATCAGAGATACACGCACCTGATGCTGTAACGTCAGAAACAAAATGATGACATCATCACTGAGGTATGTGAGGTCAGAGCAGCAGTGATGAGTTGAGTCTGTCTCAGCCTTCATCAGCAGTGATCACACTAACACTGACACAGTCTGCAGTTCATCTCATGTCCACTGGGTGTCCTCACACCTTCCAGCCTCACAGAGGGGCGTGTCTCTGACAACCAATCACATCACACCTTACAACAGGGTCAACCACACCAGTTTCTGAACCTTCCTCGCTCAGAGTCGCTCTGACAATGTTCCTAAATCACTCTGAAGCTGATCATCCTGACGCTGCGCTCGTTGTTATTGGAGACTTCCATGAAGCTCCGCCTACATGTAAACCTCAAGGAGAACAAACACTGGATCACTGCTGTACGGCGTTCAGACGTGGCTGAAGACCAAAATCAATCAATCCAGACTGTAACAGTGGGCGTGTCCTCAAACTAGGTGCTGAACGGCTAACACCTGCGTTCACAACAATATTAAACCGCCCACAGGCTCAGTGTGTCAGAACCACGTCCTTTAAGAAGTCCTCCATCAGTCCTGTGACCAAGAAAACAAAACCAACCTGCCTGAGTGACGACGGCGAGCTGCTGTCACCTCTGTGGTGAGGACTGACCCAACCGATCTACAGAGACTCTACAGCAGCATCCTCCTCACACCCTGTCTCACCTGGAAGAGAAGCTCCACCCTCATCCCTCACACAGGAGCACCTCAGGGCTGCGTTCTTGGTCCCCTGCTGTACTTCCTGTACACACGACTGTGTACCATCACAGCTGTGTTGGTCTGATCACAGACACACACTCAGTCACACATGTCAGTGTGTGATTGAGTGTGCATGTATACAGTCAATCAGACCCAAACTGGCCGAGGCGCTCTGAGCATGCTCCACAGTTTCTGCCCCGGGCTTTGACCCGGAAGTCCAATAGCATTAAATGTGTAAGAGAAGAAGAAGCCGGTAACAACATGGAGAAATCTACATCCAGAGCCGTGACTTTTTGGACGGACCAAATGTACAGAGCTGTAAAGTTGTCCACCATGGTAGCAGTTAGCTGCTAGCTAACCGTAGCTAACTTGTTTGTCCATTGTTTGGTCTGTGACGTAATAGGTCAACAGGAAAAAGGTCCAATACTAACAAGCTGAAAGGGGGCATATCTCCACCTATCGTAGAGGAGTCGCACATACTTGGCTCAATAAATGGATTCCCCTCCCGTGCTTGTATACTGGGACAAGGACAGTAGGCCAGTTAGATGTCCTCGTCCAGCTGGAACTGGAGCTCCACTTCACTGTGACTGGAAACACACTGAGTGAAGGAGAATTATTACAGATCCAAACCACCTGATCACAGGTGAGGACACCTGAGTGTTACCTGGTTCCTCCCGTTATGATGACATCACAGTTTCAAAGTGAAAACACAAACTTTCAAGAATTCAATAGAATTTATTTTTACTTTGACAATAGAAAATAAACAGGAGACAAAACAACAAACTAATAAACAAATAAACAAAATATCAAATATATTCAATATATCAATAATATATCATCAATCATTAAATCAATAATCATGTGTAGTCGCTCTTTAATTAAAACACAGTCCTGTCTCTGAGAAAAAAAAACTCAGCAGCAAAAACATCTGATGACGTCACTGATGATGTCACCAAAAAATATAACACCCAACAGTACCTCAGGTGTGTGATGATGATGTCAGAGACATAGAGAGGGTGGTACAGGTGTAGGTGTGTGATGATGATGTCAGAGCGATGTCAGATGTAGAGGGGGCGGTACAGTCAGGGGCCAGGTGTGTGATGATGTCAGAGACATAGAGGGGGTGGTACAGGTGTAGGTGTGTAATGATGATGTCAGAGTGATGTCAGATGTAGAGAGGGTGGTACTGGCGGGGGGTCAGTCTCTTCCTGCAGGTGGGACAGGTGTGTGATGACTTCAGAGCGTCTCTCAGACACTGGCTGCAGAACACGTGACCACATTTAGTGGAAACAACCAATCGGCCGCTCTCAACGATCTGTGAAGGAAACAACGACCGGCCAATCAGAACACAGGGTTACACCTGCTGTCCAGGTGTGTGACAGGTGTGTTTGAGTCTCACCTCAGAGTACGAGTCCAGACACACGGGACAGCTGATCGTCCCCGGGGTCGACCTGAAACACACACACAGACTCTACTGGTTTCTACTGTCACACATCTACTGAGGGGATCAGTCTATTACCTGGCTGTGATTTAAAAATAATGGTGTTAGGGATCAGTCTCTTACCTAACTGAAAGGTTATGTTAACAGGGATCAGTCTATTACCTGGCTGTGATTTAAAGATAATGGTGTTAGGGATCAGTCTATTACCTAACTGAAAGGTAATGTTAACAGGGATCAGTCTATTACCTGGCTGTCATAGATAATGTTAACAGGGATCAGTCTATTACCTGGCTGTCATAGATAATGTTAACAGGGATCAGTCTATTACCTGGCTGTGATTTAAAGATAATGGTGTTCGGGATCTATTACCTGGCTATCAAGGATCAGTCTATTACCTGGCAGAAAGATAATGTTAACAGGGATCAGTCTATTGCCTGGCAGAAAGGTAATGTTAACAGGGATCAGTCTATTACCTGGCTGTCATAGATAATGTTGGCAGGGACTGATCTATTACCTGGCTATCAAGGATCAGTGTATTACCTGGCAGAAAGATAATGTTAACAGGGGTCAGTCTATTGCCTGGCAGAAAGGTAATGTTAACAGGGATCAGTCTATTACCTGGCTGTCATAGATAATGTTGGCAGGGACTGATCCATTACCTGGCTATCAAGGATCAGTGTATTACCTGGCTGAAAGGTAATGCTAGCAGGGATCAGTTTATTACCTGGAGGAGCTGTTGCTGTGTACAGAGGACATCATTGCAGCGTTGAGGACAGAGGGCATGTCGTCGTCTTCATCACTGCTGACAACGTAACTCTCTCCTGTTGTGACTCTCCTATTCTGAGGACCTGATTGAGGACACCCAGAGAAATGTTGGACTGTTCCTTTAATGAGACGTCATGGCAACATGTGGACAGAAAAAAGTCTCACCTTCGTCCACCAGCTGGATCGACACACAGCAGGAAAACAGGAAACAGATGGAAATCATATAAGGTTCAGTTACAGTGATGAAGAACAACAAACTACACACACAATACTGTGTGTGTGCATGATGTGTGTCACTGTGTGTTACTGTGTGTTGTTACCAGCACTGAGTCATTGTTGGTCAGGTCGACCACGGCAGCCTCTGAGCCCTCACAGGTCAGATCCACCACCTCCTCCACACCTGAACACACATCAGTTACTGATTATAGACTGAGTCATGATTGATTTGTTCTGATAATCAATAACAGAGTATTGATCTGTACTGACTGTCCTCTGTGTTGTCCATCACGTCAACAGTCTCTGTGGGGGGGTCGGGGTCAGGGTCACCATCAGCCGTCCTGCTGGCTGCTCTGCTGGCCGTCCTCCGAGTGTTTGTCCCTCTGCTGGTCTTGGTGCTGGGTCTGGACACCAGAGGACTTCCTGTGGTCCTCCTCTTCCTCTGAACCTGAACACACATCACAACGACACACTGATGACATCACAGCTGTGATGATGATGATGTGTGTGTGTGTGTGTGTGTGTGTGTGTGTGTGTGTGTGTGTGTCTGTCTGTCTGTCTCCGTCTGCAGCTAACCTCACAAACTACTGGACCAATCAGCCTCATACTTGTGTACAGCTGTATGCTGGTCCTCTCCTGGTTCAGTGATTCAGCTGCTGAACCTGTTTCACTGACAGTGTCAGGGCCGCACACAGTGTCTTTCACCGCCTGGAAAACATGAGGTCAGGCGTGGTGTGCGACTCTTGTGCCAGCTTTAAAGAGCGTAGAGACAGGTTGCGTCTGAGGATGCAAAACAACCATAACCAGCACGTCTCACAGCCTGTTTACCTGAAACCCTGAGGTCAGAGCTGATCTACTTCCTGTGTGTCTGTGGGCCAGATGTGACGCTCTGACAGCTCTGCACTGACATGATCAACTTCTCCTCCATATTTATCACACACTGATATTTACTGAAGAAGGAAAGATATGTCAGCTGTGATTGGTTGGTCCTTGTCACATGACACACAGTGCGCACTGCTGCGTTCTAAAGTCAAACTCTGTTTACCTCAGGGTGTATGGAGCTACATTAGGGTCAAATGTTTTGTACCTGAAAAATAAAATTTGAAACTGAAAATTCATGTGTTGATCTTGAATTTTGAAAAATACAACAATGTATTCAAAATAAAAATAAGTATATGAAACATTTTTTTCAGGTTAAATATAGTTTTGATTCACTTTGGTAATTCTTTTGAATGAATAATTTATTTTCACTTTTCACTTCCATATATATTTTAACATTTGAGGTCTTATTTTTTTCAGTTGCATGTTTTATCTTTTCAGATTCAGATCTTATTTTTTACAGTTTCAAATCTTATTTTTTCACTTTCAAATCTTTTTTTCACTTTCAGATCTTTTTTTTCAGTTTCAAATCTGTTTTTTGAGTTTCAGACTTTTGACCCTGATGTGGCGTGGGGGGCGTGGCATCAACTGAGAGGGGTGTGGAATCATGAGTGACAGTGCCTTCAGGGAACGTAGGAACTAAACTAATTCTGACTCAACACTTGTATACACCATATTCATGTGACTGGCAGTGTAAAAATTGATGCCAGTGACAAACTTCCATTTAGAAATCTGTTTTCGACAGTACTGAGCACCAATTGCGGTATAAGAGCCATAAATTATGCCAGATTTTGCAGATCAACAGCCACATTTTAAGTGCTGATATGTCCGATTTCCACATAGCACTGTGAACGCAGCGTAGTGTCCACTTCGCTTGCGATGATGGCGTCTGGTCGGTCGGGTCAATCTGCTGGAGCCCATACATCCAGCACACAGGTGAGAAATGTTAACTAAGCTTTGGGAAATCATAACAAGTATTAAGGGGTCGTTTTTGTGACAACACACTTTTTCACAGCTCCATCATCACGGCCCTGTTGATGCTTCCACATCCAGACGTGTCCCCTGGATGAAACCTTTGAGCTTGGGGAAAAGGAAACAATCCTAAAACACCTCCCTACTCACCTGACCTGGCTCCAGGTGATTTTTGTGGCACCAGGTGAGTAGGGAGGTGTTTTAGGATTGTTTCCTTTTCCCCAAGCTCAAAGGTTTCATCCAGGGGACACGTCTGGATGTGGAAGCATCAACAGTGCTATGTGGAAATCAGACATATCAGCACTTAAAATGTGGCTGTTGATCTGCAAAATCTGGCATAATTTATGGCTCTTATACCGCAATTGGTGCTCAGTACTGTTGAAAACAGATTTCTAAATGGAAGTTTGTCACTGGCATCAATTTTTACACTGCCAGTCACATGAATATGGTGTAAGTAAGTGTTGAGTCAGAATTTTTTTAGTTCCTACGTTCCCTGAAGGCACTGTCACTCAAGATTCCACGCCCCTCTCAGTTGATGCCACGCCCCCCACGCCACATCAGGGTCAAAAGTCTGAAACTCAAAAAACAGATCTGAAAGTTAAAAAAAAAAGATTTTAAAGTGAAAAAATAAGATTTGAAACTGTAAAAAATAAGATCTGAATCTGAAAAGATAAATCATGCAGCTGAAAAAAATAAGACCTCAAATGTTAAAATATATATGGAAGTGAAAAGTGAAAATAAATTATTCATTCAAAAGAATTACCAAAGTGAATCAAAATTATATTTAACCTGAAAAAACATTTCATATACTTATTTTTATTTTGAATACATTGTTGTATTTTTCAAAATTCAAGATCAACACATGAATTTTCAGTTTCAAATTTTATTTTTTCAAGTACAAAACATTTGACCCCAATGTAGCTCCATATGGGTGCAGCCGCCACGCCCTGAAAAACAACTCAGGAACACGTGCTAGGCGTCTGCTCTGAAAACAATTCATTTGAGGGCACAAAGAATACACAGTATGCGCACGGCCCCTGAAACACTCACTGCCTGCTGACTCATCACTACTTTTAACCAGCTGGTAGAAGCCTAAAGTTTTACAGAAATCGTCTCAGCTGAAAACAGCGAGCCTGACTCCAGTTTGCTCCAGGACACGTTTTGTTTCGTCGTGGTTAAAAAACTGACACCCACCGAAAAGATTTGAACCGGAGAATCTTCAGATTAATTCCAAACCTGATATGTTATGATTCACTAAAATTATGCACCCTGCCAGATCAATTAGTCTATTTTAATGTTAATGTTAATGTTTTTAAATCTTTGTCACCATCCTGACTGTAAGGGAGCTGAGAGGGACATTTCCACCGAGTGCAGCTCCTCAGTTGTTGTGCTGCAGCCTTCAGACACACTTCACACTGTTTAACAGTCCAGATATGGACGACATGGATCAAAGATTTGTGGCTGCGTTTTAGTCATCAACAATGAATTCATCCTGATAATTAAAATGTGTCTTTGTGTCACACACAGCGCCTGTTGGCAGGACGAACAATCTGCGCCGCGGCTCCGTCAGCAGAGTGAACATCTGTCCGTCCACCTGGTGGAGCTCTGAGCTCTACTGAGAGCACTGTGTCAGCTGTCAATGAAACCTGAGGTCAGCTGAGCAGAAACCATCATGCTTCTGTCCTCACTGACAGCTGCAGATAAACTGATCTGAGTTCAGTCTGAGTGTGATGAGAGAAGAAAAAGGAAACTTACAGAGCTGCTCATATCAGAGACACCAGAGACTCTGCAGAGGAAACACACACAGGACACTCAGAAAACTTTAACCTGCGCACAATGTCAACAGCAAGTCAACACACAGACAGACTGTTTGTGATAAACTGAAGGATGAAATGTTCCTTTATGTGTTGGTAAATAATAATAATAATTTTCTGACTTTTAGAGATACGTGGTTCTTACAGGACAGCCACATGATGCATGTCTGTACATTAACCCACCCAACAGGATGTAAAGGAGTTCAACATGTACGGCAGGAAAGTGACACATTAATGCAGCAGGAGGATTCATACAGAAACATGAGAAGGAAACAGCTCACTGCTACATGACGTTCACTGTCAGTACTCTGTGCTCACTCTTTGACTTCAGAGAGTTCTCAATGCAGAGCTTTGACTTGTGTTGGAATATTTTCACCCTGTCATATCAGTACTTTAACTACATTCCTTCCTCCTCTGCTCCACATGACCTGCAAACACCTCAGACTGTGTTTCACCTCCTGCGCTGTACAGAAGCATAAACAGCTCTCAGATCAGATTAATATGGAGCAGATATGAGACTGATAACAAACATGTTGTCAACAGCTTCCTCATGTGTGCAGTAAACACACAATGACACAGTCAAACACTTTGTCAGCCTTCATTCTAGCGCCGCCGCTAGATTTTTGATGTCGGTTTGGTGTGTCTGCACCTTAAACCTTAGAACCAGACGAGCTACAACACAAGCTGAGTGTCTAGTTGATGGTTTTTGATACAACAAACACACTGGACTGTTTATTTTTTTGACTGGATGCATCAGGACCTCTAATTTCCATATTTCCAAGATGGCAGCCACCTAAAATAAGTTTTCTAAAAACTATTTGGCAAACCTGTTCTCTATTTGATATTTTTATGCATTAGAAACACACTGAAAATGTTTTTAAATCATATTATATATCAATTCTGATCTCCAATTATCATGTTACTAATATGGCCGCTATCCCAAAAAAAGTAATGTACACACACATTTTCAGCCAGACTGAGTCAGTGATGAGCTGTTTCCATGTTAGTCAGTACACCCCCACTGTGGAGAAACAGGAAGCAGTCTGACATGGAAGTTAAGGAATGTGCTGCTGTGGATGGGTCAGAAACAAAACTTGTTTTAGCCACCAAAAATAATCTTTATTAGTTTAACTGTTCGATATATTGAGAGTATTTTCAGTGCTTTACTTTTCTGTCAGACAGCCTGATCCAACAGGAGAGCTGTTAACATCATCTCTGCTCTCTTCACAGCCAGACTCCAGTGATAAAACCAGTGATTTAACACCAGTGAACTCAGGAGCTGCTGGTCTGCTGCTGCCTCCATCAGTCAGTGTGTTTGTGTCACTGTGTGACTTTGGTGAATCTGAATTAACCCTTTAAACACCAAAGTCACACAGTGACACAAACACACTGACTGATGGAGGCAGCAGCAGACCAGCAGCTCCTGAGTTCACTGGTGTTAAATCACTGGTTTTATCACTGGAGTCTGGCTGTGAAGAGAGCGAGATAACAGCTTCAGTTTCCTGTTGTAAATAACTGTCTGACAGAAAGGTGAAGCAGTGACAACACTCTGTGTACAGACTACACTTAAACTGATATTGACTTTTTTAGATGGGATTTTTTTTCAGGTCTCTAAATTCATTTTGTGTTTGACTCGTCCTCAGCAGCACATTGTTTCGCCTCCATGTCTCCTGCCTGATTCTCCAAACTGCTGACTAACACCTGCTGTCTGTGACACACTGACTGTGGATAAATACCTCACACAGCCACACTTAAATAACTCTGAACTGTCCCTTTAATCTGAACACCAGTTCATTCAAACATCGTTGATTCAACCCGTCTCACCGGCTGTTAGCTGCTGTTGTGTAAAATCTGTTTCACTTCACAAACTGTTTCCTGTCGCGCGGCTCTCTGAGGCTTCACGTTCATTTAAATCAAATTAAATACAGATATGTATCATGTGGCTGAGTTTCAGTCAGAGCTTGATGTCAGAGTAAAATTCACCGTTCAGTCAAAGTTTCGATGGGAAACAGATTCTGTCACAACACCGGTCCCAGCAGTTAGCAGTTAGCCGTCTCTACTCACCGTCACTGTGTTTTCTCCTCTCTTAGCTGTTAGCAGTTAGCTGTTAGCACTTAGCCGTTAGCGGCTCGTTAACGTTTAAACATTTAAACATTAAAACATCAAAATAAACCGACTGAAATGTTTCCGTCGGACAGATGATGCTAACGTTAGCTTCTACCGCCTGTTTCAGGAGTTCCTCCTGCTCCTCCTCCTTCTTCTTCTTCTTCTGTACCGGAAGTTGGTAACCAGACTGTAGGATCGTTACCGCCCCCTGCTGTTCTACAGTGTCAACTACATGATCACATCTGATACAGAAAAACACCTCAAGTTCATGACTGGTTTTATAACAATGAATAAAGTAGTAAATACAAATAAAAGTAATCCTATTTTTTATGTGACATACATTTATTCATTATATATACTGTCTGTCTGTCTGTCTGTCTGTCTGTCCATTCAGTTCAATTAAATCCAATTCAAATAGCTTTATTGGCATGAACAAAGATGTGCTGTTGCCAAAGCATTTCATGAAAAAATAAATAAATAAATAATCATATTTTACATCTTACATGCATTAATTTATTATATATTATATACACATATCTAATATACAGGTGTCGTTTACAAATAATAATAATAATAATAATAATAATGATCTAAAAATGTTTTGATATTTAACAAAATGTAACTGTTTTTTCTTATTAAATTAAAAAAAACTTTGAGCTGCTGTTTGTGTAGAAAAGTTTTATGATGACTTTATTAATAACACCTTGTGTAAGAACACTCTGTTACAACTAACAGTCTTGCATTATAAATATGTCCTCAGTGAAAGCACACAGGTATTATCAGCTGAATGAACCTCTGAGCCGTCAGACAGGAAGTCAACTTCAGTTCTGATGAATCAGTTCAAATGTTTTAACATCTTTTTAAAATGAGTAGTTATTGTCTGGTGATGAGGAGAGAAGACCTGCCCAGGTAGACTAACAGAGACGCCCACCTCCTGTCCTCCTGTCTACCTGCACAGGTAAACTAACAGAGTGTAATCACAGACAGAAGAAGCAGCACAGATTTTCAGCAGCCATGAATAAAATCAGGACGTGGTTCAACAGAGCAAAGAAGGTAAAAACTATTATTATTATTGTTGTTGTTGTTTTGTTAACATTGTTATTATTATTGTACATTTCATACTGTGTATATATTGATTATAAATGAAACACATCAATTATTGAAGCTCTGTGTTTGAAGGAACAGATCAAAATAAATGTATTGATGATCAGCTGATATTTATTGACACTAACACATAAAATTACAAACATGTATAAATATAAACATAAATATGCAGAAAAACAAATCCACTAACATTATATAATAAACAAATAATAAATAAAACGACATTATATAAAAATGAATTCTAATAACAGTAACTGTATTTAAATATGTTTAATTAATATAACACCTGTAAACACCTGTAAACACCTGAGTACCTGAGGACTGAAGTTAAACACAGTAAATGATCTGACATGTGACACAGAGGAGACTCCTTTGTTCTCTTTACTGGTGTCCCTGTCGTCATGGAGATGCTGACTGGTGTTACTGGTGTTATATAAAGTTACACTGAAGATGTTTAGTGTCCCTCCTCAGCTCCTGTATCTCTGAGTGTTTCTGTCCTCGGGCAGGATCTGTGGAGGACTGAGATTCAATAGAGATCTAAAACCTGACACTCACTGAGTCCACGTGAGACACTGAGACCACGTGAGACCTCAGACACACTGAGCCCACGTGAGATCCCAGAGACACTGAGTCCACGTGAGACACTGAGTCCACGTGAGACCTCAGACACACCAAGTCCACATGAGATCCCAGAGACACTGAGACCACGTGAGACACTGAGTCCACGTGAGACCTCAGACACACTGAGACACACTGAGTCCACATTTCAGACCTACCTTTCTGTCTTACAGAAACAGGAAGTAGAAAACGAGCTGGTGATTCGACCTTTGACCCCGGAGAGAAGACAGCAGGCCTCCCATGATGTCCCTGTCGTCATGGAGATGCTGAGCTCCACCCAGAGGTGATGATGTCATCAAACCTTTAACAGTAACAGAAAACTGACATCACTTCCTGTTCACTTCCTGTGGCAGGACCTTTAACACATTCTGATTTAAAACCCTGTCGTCTGACAGAAGCTCACTGAGCACAGCTGAACATGTGTGTATGAGCGCTGCCTGAGTAACGTTCAAACACACACATTTGCTCAGACACGTTAGTCAGCTGTGAATGAGATCGTTTGTGCCAAAGGGTTTTAAATTGTAATGTTCCAGTTAAAGTCATGTGTTAGTGAAGATCTGATCATCTGACATACATGGACATACATACGTACATACCTATATACACAAACTGTTTGCTTCCTGTTCCACACCTGGTTCTCATCACCTGGCGCTCACCTGTACGCCCTTCACACATGATGCTCCACCCTGTGTTCAGTTTAATAACTGCATGTGTATATTTATTTTAGTGAGATTTATTTTAGTTTTCCAAATATTATATATTTAGTTTTATTTACATTACATAATAACAGTGAAAGCTTCTTAAAGTTTAACAGTGGTTTTAAAATATCTAATTCTGTTTCCACTGGATCCAGAAGCTGCTCCACTTTTTTAGCAGAACAAAACAAATTTGTATCATCGGCAAACAAAACTAAATGAAACAACTTGGACACATCACAGATATAAGTTATGTACAGTGTAAACAGTAGTGGACCCAGCACTAACCCCTGTGGGACTCCACATGTAACCCTCAACAAGTGAATCAGTTATTTGCACATATTGACGTCTGTTTTCAAGGTAGCTACTGAGCCATTGGTGAGCTGCTCCTCTGATTATCTATCTTTACAGTTCACTCATTAACAGTCTGTGCTCAGACGAGTCGAATCCTTTTTTTTAGATCCATGAAAACTCCGACCGTATGTTCTTTATCATCTGTTTCTGTGGATATTTGTTCTATTGGCTCTGTCACAGTTTGATCTGAAGCCGATCAGTAAGTTGTGTTTTTCTATGAAGTGATTGAGTCTTTGGACAAAAAGTTTCTCTGACATTTTTGAGAACTGTGAAGGAGAGAAACCGGTCTGTCGTTCAAGGAAAAGTGTTTATTTCCATTTTGGTCGATGGGAACGACCATGAACAGTTTTCTCCACAGATCCAACATAAAACTTCCAGAGAATACAAACTGAAACTCTCTCTCTCTCACACACACACACACACACACACACACATTATGTGGGTGAAGTATTTAAAGAGTCATGTGACTTTGGTCTGACTGGTGTTACTGGTGAGCATTCTGTTGTTTGTGTTTCAGAGATCTGGATGGAGGTTTGATCCAATCTGATCTGATACAGACCACCAGACTGAGCATGCTCAGGTGAGACAGACAGGTAGAGACACACAGGTAGAGACAGACAGATACACCATCAAACTTCATTTCCCAGAATCCTTCACAGCTTCAGCTGAGACACAGACAGGTGTGTGTTTGTTTTGTTGACAGGGAGCTCCTGCAGGGAGACACCTCACAGGAACAGGAAGTCTCTGATGTCCAACGACAACATTACAGAACTACGATATCAGCTCCACTTCCTGTCTGGAGGTCACCGTTACAGGTGGAACAGGTGGAACAGGTGGAACAGGTGGAACAGGAAAAAGAGGTACAACAGGTGACAGGTGACGAGATGCAGACGGAGCTGACCTCAGATCTCAAATCTGACATCATCAGCCTCACTCCATCAGTGTCCTACCCTGGACTTCCTGCCCGACTCTTCCTGAAGATGAGAGACGCCTGCTCCGCCCCCTCCTCTCCTCACCCCAGGGGGAGGAGGAGGCTCCCCTGCTCCCTGCCCTGCTCCCCTCTGCTGGGGGGGAGACGCTGGAGGTCCTCTGACTCCACCCCCTCTCTGCCCTCGCCTCTGTCCCGTCTCTGGGTGGAAGCTGCTCTGCAGAGAAGCAAAAACATCCGCCCCCCTCCCCCACCCTCCCCACAGGTGGGACAGGAGGGGCAGGTAGAGGGGGGGACAGAGGAGGAAAGTGAGGAGGAGGAGGAGGAGGAGGAAGATAACCAGGTGATCATTGTTGGGATCAGGATGTCGGACACCGACTCAGAGACGTGGAGGTACTGTCTGCTGACCCCCTGCGTCTGCTCCAGGTGAGACGACTTGTTCATACAGGTGATTTAAATTTATTGACCACTTAACAAAGTTAATAAAAGACCTTCATCCTCCGTCAGGTGTCCAAGTGCTCCTCCATACGAAGGTCAGGTTTTCTCACCTGGAAACAGTCGAACAGATCCTTCACTCAGGTCTGAGGATCAGACTCCGCTGTGTCAGAGGACAGACACCCAGAGGACAGACACCCAGAGGACAGAGGTCCAGAGTGTCCCTGCAGACAGAGCTCCACAGCAGGGTGAAAGCTCCCGTCTGTACCCCAGTCTGAGTCAGTGGAGGATCACAGCTGACGCTCAGGTGAGACGACCTGTCAGTCACCTGAAGACTCACCTGGAGTGTCTCTGAGTCTTTTTCTTTAGCCTTTATCAGACAGGACAGACTGACGTGTGAAGGGGGGGGGGGGGGGGTATCGTGAGGTCAGATATCTTGAGGTCAAAGGTCAAGGGACCTCTGTGAAAATGACCATGCTGTTTTTCCTTTGCCGAAATTTAACCTAAAATTGGAGCGTTATTTAAGACCCTTCCTGAGCAGCGAGCATGACGTGGTTGGTGCCATCGGATTCCTCAGGTCGTCTAGTTTCACGTGACACCATCATCATCACTGTACCTTTAAAACTCAGCCGTCTATAACCTCTGACAGACAAGCTGAGGTGAAATAGCAGCACGTGATTAACACATAATGCATCATGTTCAGACATTAATCTCATGACTGACAGGTCGACACTGACAGCGCAGGTTTTTACTCATGAGGTGACGTGTCGGCTCAGATTATCAGTCGCCCTCTGAGACGTCTGTCAGTGGTTCAAACTGTTCACTGACCAATTTTCAGCAGCTCTGGTTCATTTCTCAGTTCTGAGCTGTGCTCTCAATAAATTCTCTCCTCAGACTGAACTGAACAGGAAACAGGAAGTAAACTGCTTCAACTGCCAGCTGGACACCAACACTGCCCAGTCCTGTTTCCATGGCAACACTGATGATCATCTGCAGCGTGTCTGTGAGACGACCTCAGGTGAGTGGGTGTGGACGCTGTGATATTGATATAAATCTTCCAGCACACACAGGATGTTACCTGTCCTCACCTGTCTTCATCTGTCCTCACCTGTCTTCACCTGTCTTCATCTGTCCTCACCTGTCTTCATCTGTCCTCACCTGTCCAGGTTCACCAGGTGACGTCTGGACTTTCTGTTCTGATGATCTGAACTTCTTCCTGAGGAAAGTGTTTGATTCCACCACCTGCATCAGAACGACAGGTGAGAGCGCCCCATCAACTGATCAACAACAGTCACACCTTCATTTACCTGAGTCTGTCCTGAGCTCCAGGTGAGCTGAATCAGGCTCTAACCTCTTCTGTTGTTCTGCAGTTCGTCATGTTGAATCCTGCAGCTTCTGTTCAGACACACTGAGCGACCGAGTCAACAAACATCTCTGCAACAACTGTCACCAGGTAAACACTCACCTGTCACCAGGTAAACATTCACCTGTGACCAGGTAAACACTCACCTGTAATAAAAACTGTAGGACAGGTAAATAGTGAACACCTGTGTTTACAGTTTGTGTACTTCCTGTGCTTCAGGTGTTCTGTGGACGCTGTCTGTCTCACTTCGTCTCCTTACTTCAGATCCATCAGTTCAGTCAAACTGCTGCAGTCTGAAGACGACCGACAGGTTACCTGTCTGTCATACAGGTGTTCCACCTGTCACAGAAACACCTGTGCTGTTGGTAATAAAAACCTGATTAAACTTTCTGATCAGTGACTCTTGTAAATCATGACATCATAATGAGAGAATTTATGGACCTGGGTCACCTGTCACTGCCCCCTGCTGGTCACCTGTCACATCACATCGCACCTGTGTCCTGTTTGATAGTTTGTGTTTGAACACATCACTGAGCTCGTCCACACTTTATTTCTGTCTGAATCTAAAAACCCTTTAACGACCTCAGACTGTTCAGAACTCAGCTGCTCGCCTTTTAACCAGAACCAAGAAGTTTGATGACATCACACAGATTTCAGCCTCCTCCAGTCCTGAAACAAACTGATGTGAAGAGCCTGAAATCTGTGTGATGTCATCAAACTTCCTGGTTCTGGTTAAAAGGCGAGCAGCTGAGTTCTGAACAGTGTGAAGACATCAGTGAGGGTCTGAGGACGGAGAGATGATGAGCTGTGAAGTCTCTGAGACAAACTGATCTGCGATACTGGGTTTTATAAATAAAATATATTTTAATCATTTTCCTGCAAATCTAAAATAATTTTGGTTAATTTACAGATTTTTCAGGTCCACCTTGTAAACTCTGTCCATGGTGCGTTCAAGTGCGTCATGTACGTGATCTATACTGACATTTATACTGGAACAGCCATGAAGGTCGTTTAAAACAGACAAGTTTCTATTTTTGTTTCGTTTTCCTTTGTTGAATATTTGTTTTTGTTTCACTGCAGCATTTTAAATAATTACATGTTAAAATCATAGAAATATCCCATTCATTTCTCCAGAGGCAGATTTTAAACATTTCATTTAAATCTTAAATCAAGTTACAAACCCCAAAATATTCTTCACCAGGTCCTCTGATCCGTCATCATTCTCACGTTCCATTGCAGCAGTTGTAGATCATCAAATACTGAAGTCAGACCCAAGTGCGAACAGTGAAAATATTCATCTTCAAAACTTAACTGTCACTTCCTGTTATTTTGGCTGACTGACAATCTGCTCGGCCGGTGGATGTGTTCACCTCACAGGGCCTCAGTCAGTGAGTTCATTTCTGGCAGTGAGCCTGGAGACGAGCTGCTTTGTTAGAGAAACATGACTTCATGTCAGAACTCAAAACCTGAATCAGCTTCTGTTTGTTTACTGTCAATAAAATCACAGTCCTGATGAAGCCGATCAGTTTGATTAATAACTACAGACGTTTCCTCCAAACTTTCACTGTTGATTATTTACTGAATATTTTAGATTATTGACGACAAAGAGAAACAAAACTATGTGAAACGTGACCAGCAGAGCTCAGACTGATGTGAACTCAGATTACATTAATGATCTGTATCATCTGATGAACTGGACACATGAGACAAACTCATCATTTGGATCTGTTTTAAATCTGTTAACAAATAAAAACGCATCACTTCCTGTTTCCACATTAAAAGTTCCTTGTGAGAAACTTGTGATGAGTTTTATTGTTTCAGACATTTTACAGACGACATTCATTAAAAAAACAACTGACAGTGACGACAATCAGATTTTTATCTTTATTTCAGTTTCCTGTCTGCGACTTCCTGTCCAGACGGAGGCTAATTAGCATGAAGCTAACAGTGGTACCATACTTACGTTCTGAACCTCAAACTAAATAAATACAATCAAACAGAGTCCAGTCGAGTTGTCAGTCTGTGCGTACAGCTGACTGCACCTGTGCTGACAGGTGCATTGCGGGTACAGAGCTGATCTGTGACCTGGCGCAGAGGGGACGCTCTTTTCGTGGCGGGGGACATCCGGCCGGGCCCCGCAGAGTCTGCTTTAGGGCCGGACCTTCATGAACGCCAGTGGCTGAACGTACCACTGAGCCAGGACACCTGAATGCAGCGCACCTGAGGAGAGACACAGGTGAGAGGGTCAGTGTGATGTCATCAAACACCAGGTCACGTGACTGTAAACACTGATACAGCTGTGTTTACCTGTGTGTGTTTACCTGTAAGTGGGGCTCTAAGTGGAGGAGAAGCTCATGGGATCCACCTGGTTCATCTTCAGGTGGTTGTCGAGGATCTGGAAGATCTCCTGGATGTTCGGGACGTAACCCGACTGAAGCTTCGACCAAACAGGAACATCTGAGGGAGGGGACAGGAAACACTGTTACACCAGGAAGTGTCAGTAAGGAGGTGTCTCTCAGAGTCAAGGGAGGATCCTTCAACGTCTGAATTTCAAGGACGCTACATCATCGACCCGCCGAAGGACTGTGCCAATGTCAAGGATCCTTGAGTCCTTCTTTCAGAGAAATTCGAAGGATGCATGTGTGGGTCCTCAGCAGGTATAAAATCCCCACAGTGCTTTGCCCATTGTGGGGATTTGCATTTGCAGGAAGTGAGGGCAGGGCCTCTCCACTGAATGCTGTGCCAGCAGAGCTCGACAGGATTTAGATTAATGTCACTTATTTAGATTCATGTCTCCACCTGAGTTTATCAGACACAACCTCACTGACACTCTCCAACGTGTCCACTGCCACATGATGAGGTTTATTAAATACTGTGACTTAGATAAAACATAAAAGTTTTAAATCAGATGGAACCTCTGCTGCTTCAGTGTCACGAGGACGCTGTCGTGAACTGAACGTGACACTAACATGAGGTTTGCTGTCGACACACAGAGTGCGCCGTGTGACGACAGGTAAACCTTGAATGTCTCTGTTCAAGTGAACGTACAAGATGAAACTAGAAAAGCTGAAGGCGAGGCTTGTGTCTGCCTCCCACGTAACCACGGCCAGTAATTGAACGCTTGTTGCGGCGCCCCTGTGCGACCTCACAGTTCTGTGGTTCATCTGATTGGCTGAGTGTTGGCGACGTGATGTGTTCAGGAAGAGTCCGTCACTCGGGGACAAATAAATTCAATTCTCCAACACAAACATGACAGAATCCCACAGAAATGAGATCACGATGTTCTAACCATTAACCGTGCAGCCACGCTGTCGTGTTTTGGACCAATCAGAACTCACCGTTCAGAGTGACCTCGAAGGCTCCCGTAGACAGGAAGTGAGTCTCCATCATGTTACAGAGGAAGAAGGCCATCAGACAGGAGAAGATCTGATGAACAACACAAAAGAAAAAAACAGTGAAATGGTTGAATCTGTTGCCATGGTAACCAGCTGAAACCTCTGTTGCCGTGGTAACAGCTACCTTGTTGTCCTGACTCCAGGTCCAGGCTCTGGGAGTGTCGAGGCCGAGGAGGACGAAAGGGTTCTGACCGCTGACGATCAGCAGGATGGAGAGGAGCTTCAGGTAGGAGATGAGGTTACCGAAAAACCTGAGGAGAGACGGAGGACTGGTGTTACTGGGTTTACTGGTTTGACTTCAGACTGTGCGGATATAATCCAACATGATTGGACAGTAGTAGTTTAGTGATGTCAGAGCTCACCTGTTGAAGGGGGTGGGGGGGTAGTTTTCTCCCTCGATGCGGATGTCCGGGTACAGCTGGCTGATGGCTCGTGAGTACTCCTGGAACACTTTGCTGTAACCTCAGGAGATACTGAGAACACACAGAGAGGACACACCTGTCAGGTGAGCTCAGCTGGACCACGTGATGCCCCACACGGAAGATGAAAAAGTGTTTGATATATTTCTAAAAGTTCAATTTGTTATTTATAATGTTTGTTAGAAACCTGTCTTATTGTTAACAGCAATAAAACAGATTCAGTTACTGAGCTCAGTCCCTCAGGTGGAGACGTACAGGTGAGTTCAGGCCTTGTTTACGATGATGGTGTTACACCTGTAACAGCTCAGTACTTGTTATGGATTATGAACTGAAGTGTAAACAATTTACTAACATTTACTAAAATAAAGCGCTTTGAAACGTTTAATAGAAACATTTAAACACAGTTAAAAACGTCACTGAGCCGTTAGTTTAACATTCAGACACAAACATGATGAAACAGATTTATTTTCTGATGCTAACTGTTAGCTCGCTGTTAACCTGTTAGCTCCTGATGCTAACTCACTCACCAGTACTGGAACTTGAGCGTGGGCCCGGTGTACAGGGAGGGTTTGGCGGGTTTCCCGGGCTCCGTGTCCGGCAGGGTGTCCGGAGAGAAGCCGGGGCTGTCGGCCTGCTGGTGTCCGCGCTGCGGGCTCGTTCTGCCGAGGTAAATGTCCCGGACCGTGAGGGCCGAGAAGAGGAGCAGAGCCGCCAGGAGGCCCGCCTGGCTGTACTCCGCCATGTCTGCTCTGTGACAGAACACCGATCTGCCCGGAAACACGGTGATCCACTACACCACTTCCGGTAAGATATTTCACAATAAAAGAGCTGAGGAGCAAAGCCGTCAGTGGAGGTTTTTTTTATTCGGTACTAGTGTAAATAAATTAACTCAATAACTGTGTTTAAATTCTGCTCTGAGGTTCCTCTGCCTGAATATTTCTCTTTCTGCCACGCTGAGTAACATATATGTGGTCTATATAAGAATCAGGTCAGAAATAATTAATTACTGTTAATTTGAGAGTGTTTTGTGTTTATGTATTTTATTTTTCTAGATTTACGTCATATTGTATGTGGTTTCATATTTCGTTGCTAACCTGAGGCAGGAGATGATTGAGGAACAGGACTTGTAAATCTAACTTGTCTTTTGTATCTATTAAGTTCAATAACGCGAATAAACACAAGTGTTTAATTCTTTTATTGTGAAAGTATGGTCAAGTGTTCCGGCTTGATTCTGGCGGGTAACCGTTTCCGGTAAATCTTCGTGCAGATTATTTGATATTTTCTCTGAAATGTAAAATACGTTTTTATTTTTTATAAATGATTCTTTTTTTTTTCTTTTTTTTTTACGTAAAGTTATTTTTTGCTCTGTGCCGTCACATTTACCCGACACGCGGTGATAAACACCGTGACGTCATATGTGTGGGACGCCGTGCTGCCGGTGGATGGAAGGATGAAGGTGAAAGAATAAAAAATGAAATCAGTTTAAATGATTTAGTCTGAACCACAGATTATTTACACAGCAGAGAGCCGGATACAGGTCACCTGACGGCTGACGTCACACAGGTACGTTCTGGTTTTATCTCTGAATTAAAGTCGGTGACTGAGTGTTTCAGTAACTGTCACACAGGTGATGTGTGTGTGTGTGTGCAGTAGAAACACTTTAGTGTTTAACTTCCGGTGTTAAACTAGTTCAATCTTTGTTATATTGATTATTGAATATTTAGTTTTCGATATTTAATGTTGTGGTAAAACTCTGCAGCTGAGTCTGACAGGAAACAGAGACACGTCATAAACCTCATTATTAAAAACTGTTTCTGGGTCTGAACATCAACATTTGCTCTGGTGTGTGTTTGACACAGAAGGTGGAGATTCATTCACTCATGTTCAACATTACACAGAAAGTCTAATCTCAAAAACATTTATTCACAAAGACCCAAGTAAAATAAAAACATTATATATGTATGTGTATATATATATATATATATATATACACATACATATGTGTGCATCACACAAAGACAACATGGCTGACTACAGATGTGATGGTCAAATCAAAGAGTCGGGTCCTCACAGGAGGTTTTAAGAGGAAGAACGAGGATTAATTTAAGAAGCTGATTTATGGGACAGACTCTTCAGAGACGTTGGACAGTTTCAGTCCTGAACTCGTCTTTAATCAGCGTCCTGTTTGTCTCTTCATGTTTCAGGAGGGGTCGCCATGTTGAGTGTGGCGGGGTCGTTGAGGACCAGCGTCCTGCAGCTTCCTGTACGAGGAGTCTGTTCTGCAACATTCAACAGGAAGTCATCTGCACCTGGTCACACCTGTACTGCACCGCCGTCAGCTGGATGTCCTGCAGTTTGCTGTCACATGTTACCTGTCAGGACGCTGTCAGCTGTCAGGACGCTGTCAGCTGTCAGGACGCTGTCAGGTGTAGGGACGCTGTCAGGTGTTGGGACGCTGTCAGGTGTTGGGACGCTGTCAGGTGTTGGGACACTGTCAGGTGTTGGGACGCTGTCAGGTGTTGGGACGCTGTCAGGTGTTCGGAGGCTCTCAGGTGGAGGCCATGATGACAGTGCAGGTGCAGTCGGCTGGTACAGCAGCCTCTCTGACTCGGCTCCGGTTCACCTGAGCGAACACTTCCTGGTGAGCGTGCAGCAGATGAGCGGGCTGCCGTGGTGGCTGAGCATCGTCGTGGCGACGCTGTCGGTCAGGACGCTCATCACTCTGCCGCTCGCCGCCTACCAGATGGTGATCATATCCAAGGTGAGTGACGGGAGACGACAAATGACATCATACGGTGACACTAAAGATATAAAATAATACACACAGTGTTTCTGATGTGTCAAGATTAGAAATTAACGTTCACTGTAACCACACTGAGTGTCTGTATACATGATGCTGTACACGTTTGTTGGCGTGTGCCGACTCTTAGGATAGCAACTTCCTCTCCATCACGGTAACCATAGTAACCTCCAGGTGATGTACAGGTGGAGGCACTGCAGGCGGAGATCTCAGAGCTGGCGAAGAGGCTTCGATACGAAGTTTCAGTCCGAGCACGAGAAAGAGGCTGGACGGAGAAAGAGTGCCGGTAAGAAACAACACAAACAAACAAACAAACAAACAAACAAACAACGGGCTGTGTTTTTATGAACTGATTTGTTTGTCTTCAGGTTTCAGTTCAAGAAGAATCTGCGTCGTATCGTCTCTCAGCTCTACGTCAGAGACAACTGTCACCCGTTCAAAGCCAGTGTGCTGGTCTGGGTTCAGCTGCCTCTGTGGATCAGCCTCTCTCTGGCCCTCAGAAACCTGAGTCTGGATCAGTCCGGTAAGATCACACTGACTCTGGATCAGTCCTGGACCAGGACTTAAGTCCTTTAAGGGTCCATCTGTGTTCTTTTTTTCAAATAGAAACTCCACTCAGCCGTTGGCAAAAAGCAGTGATGAAGATTACAGCACTGATACTCTCCTCTTCCTCACGCCTCCACACACACCTTTCACTCAGTCTGTCTCCAGTCACAGTGAAGTGGAGCTCCAGTTCCAGCTGGACGAGGACATCTAACTGGCCTACTGTCCTTGTCCCAGTATACAAGCACGGGAGGGGAATCCATTTATTGAGCCAAGTATGTGCGACTCCTCTACGATAGGTGGAGATATGCCCCCTTTCAGCTTGTTAGTATTGGACCTTTTTCCTGTTGGCCTATTACGTCACAGACCAAACAGTCTCCATCCAGTGTTTCCCTCCCATCCATGTATTTCTAAATATTTTAGTCTGTCAGCTGACACAGTATGACCTGTGTCTGCTCGTCCATTAACAGTTTATTCTTCAGTCCAGGTGGACGTTTGTGCCAAATTTGAAGAAGTTCCCTCGTGTTGTTTTTGAGATATTGCGATTATAATAATGGGACAGACGGATGGACAACCTTAAAAAACGCCTCCAGTCACGGCTGTCGCCAGCGTGGAGGTGTAGAGAATGAAGTTGTTTCTCTTAACTAACAGTAAACGGTGTTTCCTGCAGCGCTGCACTCTGACCTGGCAGCAGGGGGCGCTCTGTGGTTCCCTGACCTCACCTCACCTGACTCCACCTGGATCCTACCTGTCTGCCTCGGACTCATCAACCTGCTCATCGTAGAGGTCAGTCTGTTCAGCAGGTGTGTGAGTCACCTGACCTGATGATGTCATCCAACCTAATCATCTTCTTCTTCTTCTTTTTTTTCTTCTTCTTCAGGTGTTTTCTCTGCAGAGAGTCAACCCGTCTCGTTTACAGAAGACTGTGACGAACTTCATCAGAGCGTTCTCAGTGTTAATGATTCCCATCGCTGCCACTGTTCCTTCTGTGAGTTGAACACAGTCTGTCACTCTGTGAGAAATTAAAATCAGAGCAGCTGATTGGTTCATTCTGGACGTCACAGTGTGACTTCAGGTTCAGGTGCATGTTCAGGTTCAGGTGCAGGTGCAGGTTCAGGTGCAGGTACAGGTGCACGTTCAGGCTCAGGTTCAGGTTCAGGTGCAGGTGCAGGTGCAGGTTCAGGTTCAGGTTCAGGTGCAGGTACAGGTGCACGTTCAGGCTCAGGTTCAGGTTCAGGTTCAGGTGCAGGTGCAGGTGCAGGTTCAGGTTCAGGTTCAGGTGCAGGTACAGGTGCACGTTCAGGCTCAGGTTCAGGTTCAGGTTCAGGTGCAGGTGCAGGTGCAGGTTCAGGTTCAGGTTCAGGTGCAGGTACAGGTGCACGTTCAGGCTCAGGTTCAGGTTCAGGTTCAGGTGCAGGTGCAGGTGCAGGTTCAGGTTCAGGTTCAGGTGCAGGTACAGGTGCACGTTCAGGCTCAGGTTCAGGTTCAGGTTCAGGTGCAGGTGCAGGTGCAGGTTCAGGTTCAGGTTCAGGTGCAGGTACAGGTGCACGTTCAGGCTCAGGTTCAGGTTCAGGTTCAGGTGCAGAGAGAGTTGTTTATGTTCAGTTCAGGAACACAAACACATTAATCATATTAATATAAATGAAGTTTATTTTATAAAGTTAATTAATGTTGACTTTAAAGCAGCTCATGATCTTTTAAAACCTCCAGCAGGTCCTCTGACATCACTTTGTTCTCTCCTCTCCTCCCAGTCCATGGCTCTGTACTGGTTTACCTCCAGTCTGGTGGGATTCAGTCACAACCTCTTCCTTCGTTCTGCTACGATCCACAAAATCCTCAAACTGCGAAGTCACAGATCAGACTCTCCGTACAGAGACCTGCTTTCCGCCTTCATCACCAAATACTGCAGATAAAGACACAGACGGATCAGAGACATATTTATAAGATAAATCAGTGACAGAACATTTCATTGATATTTAACTGCTGTTCAGCTGGTTGTGATGTTGAGATGTTGTATTGATCCAGTCATTGATTGATCTGTTGATTAATAAACTGAAACTTGTGTTGATATGAGGAGGTGTCTGTATGAGCATGTGATTCAGTCTTTTTGTTCTGTGTTAAAACTTTTATTCACTTATTGATCACCAACATTAAAGGTTCAGGATTCAGATTATTGACAGACAGTGAATCTCATCTAATGCTTGTGTTTCTGTTCCCTCAGAATGAGCTGTCAGTATCTACACAGGCAGCAGGTCCTCGTCTACACAGATCACCATGTTGCTCCGCCACGTTTCTACAGTAGCCCAGAATGGACAAACCAAACACTGACTCTAGATAGAGACATTCATGTTTCTGCATCCGCCACCGCAGTTAGAAGCTTATCTGCGGAGTGTTGGGAAAAAATTTTTAAAACATGAATTGTCTTTCATCAGTGTTTTTCCTGTAAATCAGCTGGTGTGTTTGTTTTAGTGAGGAAAAGACCTCTGTAGATAATTAATCTAATATGAACCGGCTATCAATCAGTCATATTTTACCAGGAAATATAAAACTGTGTCACTCTTAACTGGTAACTTCAGTAAGTGAAGTAAGCTGTACTGCTGAATTAAATTCAATTAAATTAGATTTTTTTTTTTTGTTTAGTTACTGTGGTCTAGTTAATTTAATTTAATTCAATTTATTTTAATTTTATTTTATTTCATTTCATTTCATTCTATATAGTTTAGTTAATTTAGTCTAGTTTAGTGTAATTTCATTTAATTTTTAGTTTAATTAAAATCAAAGAAAAACTACAAAGACCACAGTGTACCTGCTTTTTATTTATGTCCTTTTGGCGCCATCTTGTGGAAAGCAGGAAAACACCAACTGCTCGCTGATTGGCTTAATTTGCGATGTGCTCGTCTCTGATTGGCTCATAAAATTTCCGCCGTCTACAAAAGTCTTCCGGCCGGAAACAGTCAGAGCTGAAAGTTTCCTCCGGATCATTCATGTTAGAATTCATCTCGCGTTTAAGATTTTTGTGCAATAATAATTTGTTTTTTATATATGTATAATTTTAGAAATACGTAAAGGAAAAACACGTCGTTTCCGGTTCAGGCAGTGTGGAGATAGCCGTCGGCCCTGTGTGGTTTCTGTCCGGAGGATAATAGAGAAGGGACCGAGTTTGGAGGAACAGTTGTTGTGAGAGTTTGTTTCCGCAGCTGTCTGATCAAAATGAGGATTACTAAAGTATTTCTGAGTGTAACGGCGGTGCTGGTGACGTGTCAGCTGTCTCCGGTGAGCTGTGACATCACGGACGGGAACGCGGAACATCTGAAGAGAGAACACTCGTTAATGAAACCGTACCAAGGTAACACGGCTCCGTTAGCTCGGCGGCTAACCTGCTCTGCTGTCTGCTCCTCAGCTGCAGGAAGAGTTTACAGATTTATTCTGAGATAATTAATGTAATTAACTGTAGTTTAACGGCTCAGTCAAACAGCTGACGTCATAACCTGCTGTTAGGGTTTAAAACACGTCATGTTGAGGAGCACGATAAAAGTTAGGGACTGTTCTTTACCTATCAGAGGAGGGTGGTGTCTGAGGTGTGTGACCCTCCCTGAGTGACAGGAGGAAGACTCATGACCCTCCCTCCACCATAACTCAGTTATCAGATTTATAAAACTTAAACTTTGATGTTTGAAAGTTAAAAGTTGAAGATGAACTTCTGGAGTTAAAGACAGCCTCAGTTTTTCACTCTTGTCGTGTGAACAGTTTATTTTTGGACACATTTAAATGAGATGTAGAAGAAAATGATTTTGATGAAATATCTGTTTGAAGCTCAGATTTGGTTTTTTCTATTTTGTTACTGAAGTGTTCGTCACACATGATGAGTCCAAGGACCGTCAAACATAAATTATTTCAGAATCCAATATAATGGGGCGGCAGTAGCTCAGTCCATAGGGACTTGGGTTGGGAACCGGAGGGTCACCTGATCGAGTCCCCGTCCGGACCAAAATACGGAGCGTGGACTGGTGGCTGGAGAGGTGCCAGTTCACCTCCTGGGCACTGCCGAGGTGCCCTTAAGCAAGGCACTGAACCCCCCAACCGCTCCAGGCGCCTGACCAAAGGGCAGCCCCCTCACTCTGACATCTCTCCACTGTGTGCATGTATAGGTCCTGTTTGTGCATGTGTGTGTCTTTCAGACCTGTGTGTAATTGACAAGCAAGAGTGTGGGTTGGAGGGCATGTGTTTTGTAAAAAAAAAATGCCAAAAACTTTACAGGAAAAAAAAGCAAGAAAAAGAAAAATATGCCTTTAAACCCCCCCCCCCCCCCCCCATGTCAGTTTAAATATTAAAGAAGCTATATGTAAGAAATCTAAAGCAAATAGTCGTAAAATCCTCCTAATATGTCCCAGAGACTAAGGAATAATGTTCATATAACATACTGATCTCACCGACAACAATAGTACAGCCAGAATATTCGCATTTAAAAAACATTTTTACGGTCTGCAAATCATGTTTATGTTTTGAATTTGTGTTTTGGCCTGTTGCGCCACCCACCACCGTCTACCAGTCTCGCAGTCAGTAGAGTCTCAGCATCAGTTACAGTTACGACTGAGCTACAGCAGCACGGCAAGCACCGTTAGCAGTGTCCCAGTACATAGCATTAGCAGCTGGCTCCTCCTCAGCTGTATCCCAGCAGCAGCGTTAGCAGCAGAGAAGCCGGACTTGCTCGAATGGCGACGTGGCCCTGCCACAGCAGCCGCCCGTGGGCAAACAAATCAGTCTCCAGCGTGCCGCTGTCCAGCAACCTCGAACCTGTAGGGGAGGGGGGGCGGACACGACTCGCTGCAGTATTTTGAATTTGAGTGCAGTAACCGTTTTGGCCACATTCTTACATACAGCGCCTTTAAGTTACACAAAGTGTGAGACAAAGTTTATTATTTCATTTTGGACTCAGCGAGGGATAGTTAGGTAATAATACTAATTGTAGCTGCTGCGCAGCGATGGGTCGGTCCGGGCATTTTTAGGCAATTCTGAGCAACAAGCAGAAGAATTGGAAGACATTTAGGAATTTAGCAACACAATCTGCCTTTTGCATCAGCTGAGGCTTGAACTCACAACCTCTGAGACTATGAATCAATTTCTATCTCACTGAGCTAATTAGTCAGTGACAATTCATGTGTAGCTTCACAAACTGACTAAGCCAGACGTGCAGGTTTAGCAGCCGTCCATGCATGGAAAAGCAGATTTCAAACCACTGTAAAAAATTCAGTTATCGAAACAAAAATCTGAAAATACACATATTGCATCTAGACAGCATGGAGATGTTGGTAATTTGTTTGTAACAATAATTGATTTGCTCCATAAGTGAAAAACTGATGTTTAAAATTGCCATTTTTACATTGACTCCAATTGTTCACATTAGAGCAAAATTCAAAATGCTGTCAAAAATTCAGTTTTTGAGATAAAATTCTGAAATTTGCCACACATCATCTACCATGACTCTAGAATTTTGTCTTTTTTTTCATGAACATTGAAGATTTATTTAGCAAGAATTTGCATGTATATGTTTACAGTACCGTTTACAGTCAAACATTTTGATGCACTGTAGGCTCAATTTTTGATAAATCAAAAATCTGAGAAACATAGTTTGTGTAGGACAGTCTGAAGATGCTCTGTAGCAAGTTTGGTGTCAATTGAGCAAAAATTGTGGGAGGAGATAGGTTTAAGAAGTTTTACAGTTTTTGAAATGATGAACTTCATAATTTTTAATAGGTTTAAATGTACCAAAGTTTCTTCAGTATTGGGGCTACAGTTTGATGAAAGTTCTGAAGCTGTAGCACGTATGGTTGATTTGTTATGAATTTTCAAAGTTTTGAACTTTAGACGCTTGCTGTAGCGCCACCATCAGGACTATTGGCTTGAGTTTACAGCTGAGGATATCTGGCATGAGACTGGACCTTTGTGCAAAGTTTGGTGAGTTTTCACCCATGGGAAGTATGATTTCCTCAGAAGTAGAAGAAGAAAGAAGAAGAAGAATAACTAGGATTACAATAGTGTCCTGGCAGCTCAGCTGCCTGGACCCTAATAATAGTTTTATTTGTATAGCAAATATTTAAACATGGTTACAAAGGGAAATACAGTTATAGTGGAGCGGATAAGTGACATAATCGTTCAGTTGGTGATACAAGCGTGGAAATTGGCATGAGCAGTCTCCATGGGTCACTTGACAAGAAAATTGCCCGAGCCAATTGAAATATCAAGATGGCGGTAATTTTTCAAGATGGCCGCCATCTTCATGCGTGTATTATCATCTTAATGGAACATCTGCCCCGCCCCCTATCCAATCAGAAACCTTCCCTGCCCCAAACCTTAAAGGAGATTGAACTGATCTCCGTGTAAACCCTCATCAGAATGAATATTTCTCATGTAAACTACCTGCAAAGACTTTAATTCCGAATGATTTCATTCAGATTTATTTCATTCAGAATGATAAGCCATCATGTAACCACACCCAGTGAAGCACATTTTAGTTTAGTTCTTTAGTATATTGTTCAATTATTATTTTGGAGCACTGTCCGTTCAGAACCACAGCTGTGCTACTTTAGTATTCTTACTTTTTGTTTCCCCATCCCTTAGTATTTATTTGACAAAGTTACTGTCTGTTAGTTTAAAAAAAACAAAAAAATAAAAAAACACCTCCCTTGTGCCTGTTACCTTGTCATGGTAAGGGAGCTTGTGTACTTCACAGAGGCCTGAGAGCTATGCCGTTGGAAGACAACTTCTGGCAGGTTTAACCAAACTGGACAGGTCAAGGGCAAGGAGTAAGACAAAACACAGTCAAACACAGGAACCCAAAAAATGGGGAAATATATAATGTAAAGATCCAGGTGGCCATCTTGAAGAATGGCTGCCATCTTGAAATTTCAAGTGGCTGTGAGTAGTTTCTTGTCAAGTGACCAGTGGAGACTCATAAATATAAACATACCTCATACCAATTTTCATGCTTGTATCACCAACTGAATGATTTGGCCTAAAATCAGCTCTTAGCCGTTCCACTATTACAATAATTAAAAACAATGTTAAAGGGATAGTGCACCCAAAAATGTAAATTCAGCCATTATCTACTCACCCATATGTCGAGGGAGGCTCAGGTGAAGTTTTAGAGTCCTCACATCACTTGCAGAGATCCAAGGGGAGAGGAGGTAGCAACACAACTCCACCTAATGGAGGCTGACGGCGCCCCAGATTCAAACGTCCAAAAACACATCATTGAAACCACAAAATATCTCCATACTGCAGTGAGCTCACATGTGCGTGCTTGCGTGCGAGACCAGCGAAAGCACGTGAACACACATGAAGGCGGTGCCCATGTCTCACAGTCTCGTGCAAGTGTGCACACGTGAGCGCGGTGCCCAGAGAGGCAGTCAGAGCTACAGGCTACAATGAGGCTAAAAACAGAGTTCAAATGAGGTTTTTCCAAACAACTTTTAATGTCGGGGCTTCAGGACACTTGGATCACTACGGACGAGCAGTATGGAGATATTTTGTGGTTTCAATGATGTGTTTTTGGACGTTTGAATCTGGGGCGCCGTCAGCCTCCATTAGGTGGAGTTGTGTTGCTACCTCCTCTCCCCTTGGATCTCTGCAAGTGATGTGAGGACTCTAAAACTTCACCTGAGCCTCCCTCGGCATATGGGTGAGTAGATAATGGCTGAATTTACATTTTTGGGTGCACTATCCCTTTAAAGGCGAAGAAAAATCCATTCAAATCAGACTTTATTTATTTATACAGCACCTTTCATACAGTCATGCAGCCCAGAGGACGTCACAGAGCAGGAACAAGTGAATAGCTTGACAGTTCAACAATAAATGCGAAAATATTCAAAATAAAAACAGTTAACATCAAATAAATACAAGAAAAGAAAAGTGGAAAATAGCAAACAAGATTTAAAACAGAGGCAATAAAAGACGAGCTACGAAGATCTGGCTTAAGGTTTATTTTAAAAATATCCCTCAGGTGGACTGTGCATAGACTCAGCAGCAACTAGACGCTGATTCCTCAGTGATATTTGTTGGAATCCTTGAGACGACCAGCAGGTCAGCAGGAGAGGATCTGAGGGATGTGTTACGTCTAAGAAGCATGTCTGAAAGTTGGGCTGGTGCCAGGCTGTTCACTGATTTAAAATCTAATACAGTGTGTTCAGAGGCAACACAGAACAACAGGAAATAAAAGATAAAAGTTAAAATAAAAATCTGTTTTAAACAGTGATTTAGAAACATTAACGTGCCAATGAGCCTGATCTCCTTAGGCAGAGAGTTTAAGGGCCTCGATGACAAAGGTGCCGTGACCTTAAGTTACCAGCC